TGCTGGCTGGTTCCTTCTCAAAAATCTGGTCTAGGCCAAGGAGTAGGTATAGTTTGCCAAATAGTAGTAGTTGTTGGGTGCAAAGAGTATGATGACGGAGACAAGTGGACAGAGACAGTGGCCGTATTGGATGGTTCTTCTACGGGGAAAACAGTGTGCCGGGGTTTTGGGATGGGGAAGGTGATGATCCTGGTCCGAGGAGAACCGAAAAGTATGGGGATTGGTATCTTCCTCTGCCCGCGGCAAGTCTCTTCTCCCTTCAAGTCCTTCGCTTGTTTTTTTATTTTTCACTTTAGATAGTGGCTAGAGCTGTGCGTAATCGAAGCCAGAGGAGCCAGCGCTGCTTTGAGCTTGTCCTTGTTGTTTGATTTATTTTAACTTGTGAAACTAGGTTAACAATAGTCGAATTAATAGCTGCAATCAAGAATAAAACATAGAGAGGGAGAGAGGGAGAGAGAAAAAGAGAGAACATTGTAATTAAAAGGGATGGGTAACAGTTGCAAGCTTAAATTACTATGTTCAACATTGTGTCTGTATCCTAAGTGCTCCCTAAGGCCCTTTTACTACACACACAAAATTCGCACAAAACAGGTGTATCAAGTTTAAAAACTAACGACGATTATAAACACTGAGCTACAAAATCAAACTTTTTCAATTTTCATGAATTTTAAAACTCATTTAAGGAGTGAATTTGATATACATATATTTTTAACAACTTATAAATACATTATTTATCGATTTTAAAAACGACCTAATTTCTTTCAAATCTTCAGAAATTTCTTTAAAATGTACTAAAAACTTTCCAATGCTTGTAGTTTTCAAAGAATCACTGGCATATGTTTCCTTTTCTTTGCAATTCCAAAAAGTTTCTAGATTCTTGTTAGGGAATTCACAGAATTAAATGATGGAATGCCAATTTAGATATCGATAACAGCTGTCTATATGGCGATAATTAAATCGTTCTATTTTTTGTTTGTAGTTTTCCTAGCTTTTGTTTTGCTTGCTTCTTGTTTTCGATTTCTTTTGTTTTTTTTTTTCACTTTTCTTTTCTTTTTCTTTTTTTTTTTGCCCGGCCCGGGGGGATTACATAAACCTTGATTTCTATTCAGCCTTTGACAATGGCACACGTAGATTAATTAAGAGCCATCGAACACCCCCTTCTCACCATTCATGGCCCCCTGATGGGTGTGTGCGAGAGAGAATGGCGAAAGAGGAGAATCAATCTGTACAACGGGATATTGCGATTGCAATGGCGGATGTTAAATGTTAAGCGATTGTTTGATGTTAATTGAAAATCGTTGCTGCCACATTATGTTGCACAACGGGGGGGAGGTGAGAGTGGTAGGTAGGATGGTAATAGGGGGATAGATATATGGGGAAATGGGTTGCCTATATATGCACTTTTTGATGGCACACAAATCGATTTTTTCGCACACTCGCACATTGCAAATGTCGTGTGTTGTTCGACTACTCGGCTTTTTCCTTTTTCTGTGTGTTCTTGTTTTATATTCTATATTTCTTTCGTTTTTGCTTTCGTTTTTCCTTTTTTTTTTGCGCTTGTTTTATTTGCAATTGTTTACGCTTTGACAAACCTACACATGAACACAAGGACATACATACACATATGGGTCGTCAGGACGAAAAGCGCGCAACAGTGGGGCAAAAAAAAAAGACGAGAAAGAAGGAGAAGAGAACATGGGGTGTGTGGGGGGAGAAGGACAAGCAAATCGTTGGCATACTTTAAATTTAATTCCCGCAAACAAACATTGCAGAGAAGTGTGGGAGGGACGAGGCAAGAAGGAAGAGCAATATGGAGGGTGGCGCCTGCAGGACAACAGGAGGTGTGTCTATGTGTGTGGGTCTGTTGATAATGACAGTGTGCCGTCCCCCTTCCACTCGTCCTAATGATGATTAAAATGCCATTGCTGTAGAGTAGAGGAGAAAGAGGAGCTGACAGAGAAGGAAAGTACGAGCGAGATGGAGTCGCAGGATGCTGCCCAAATCTGTGTATGTATATATGTGTACGTAAGCAGCTTCTATCTCCCTTGCTCTCCCTACGTAATATATATATATATATATATATATATATGTATATGGATGTGTGTGTATAGATAACCTCGATTTACAGATTTTTCACACACATAGGCACTGCTTGGCCCTGCTTGTTGCTACTCACATGTTAGCTACATCTTCTTCTTATGCTGCTGCTGCTTCTTCATCACTTGAACATATGAAAAAAAGAACAAAAAAAAGTTGATTTATTTTTATTTTATTATTTTTCAAATAGTTTTTAGTTTATATATTTACTGTTAAACTTTTGTCTTTTTATACATAGAGACACACACACAGACACACTAAATAGGCGCGCTTTTTAAAATGGTTTTAGCCTTAGATTTTCTCACTTTTTAATTAAAATTTTGTAAAATTTTCAATATATTTTTTGGGGGCTTTTCTTGATGGGGACAACAAGAAATATGCTAGTGGTTGGCTGGTCAGTTGTCGACTGAGCTTGAGCTGCTGCTTCTGCTGCTGCTGCTGCTGCGTTCCTACTGCTGCTTCTACTGCTGCAAAAGTGAGAATGAGAGCGCCAGAGAAAACGAGCAGGCGATGCTGCTTCCTAGGACCTCTACCTAACGGTATGTGTGAGAGCACACACACACACACACACACACACACGCGGACTAACTCTCAATCGCACTGCTTGCAATTTATGCCTATTGGAAATGTAATGGAATCAATCGCTGCTCCTTTTTTGTTTAGCCTACTTCAAGGCGTTTCACTGATTTCTCTTGGATTAATACAAAAAAATCTCGGTTGCTATTAGCATTTGTATGTGTGCATGTGTGTGGACAGCTGCCATGTGAGCGACTATTGCGCAGGCTTACGCTATTTCGCCCCCAAAAAACGTTTTTCGCGTACACGCTGGGTATCCTGCAGCAACAACAACAACTACTTGGGCAAAAACAATGCAAAATGTTTTGCGCGCGCGGTCACATGACACGAGTTACACACATACACACACACACACACACACACATGCTCGCGTGTACAGCCCTTATACAACTGTAAAATTTGTTGAGGCAGCGCAGGAGCAGCACACTCACACCAATATAGCTTTTAAAGTTTTTAAAATTCAAGCTTTATTCTATAGATTTACTTTGACGAAACATCTGGAACCGATTTTTGTTATTATTTATAGATATTTGTTTTTAGAATTTTTGCACAAATTCGGACAAACTTTTTTGTGGCTTTCTTTTATAGTATTAAGAAGAAAAAACAACGCGTGCGAACGCGTCGAATGCTCTGCAGAGAAAAACTGAAACTGGGCAAAACTCAAATCGGCAGCGTTTTCCGCGCAGTTTCCACGGCACGTGTTATACATACACGAAGGAATACACACACACTTGCACGTACATATGTATATCCTGGTGGTTATGCAAAGCAGCAAAGAGTCGTAGGGTTGTAGCTGGCTTTGATTTTGATTTTTGGCAGAGCGAGCTGGAAACCCTGGCCGAGGATTCCTTTACCCAGGAATCGATACTTGTTGTTGTTGTAAAAAGAGAGAGAGAGAGAGAAAGGGGAAGTCCCCTTTTTGTTTTTTTTTTCTTAAGAAAGGGAAGTAATAATCTCACATGCGAGTACATACTAAAAAATGTAATCTGCTAAAATGTAAATACTTGCATACTCCCACAATTTATATGCCATCTCCCTCTAACATATATAGCCGTAGCAAATTTGCATGGGAATGGTAATGAGTTATGTGCCGTTATGCTTTATCCTTTTATGTGTGCAAGCCCATTATCAATAACTCAGCAAAGTAGGCAATAAAAAGGAGTCTTAAAAGAAAGACAAAGAGTGGAGGAGGAGAGTGGGGGTTACTCTTGCGTCATGTTATTTAATGTAGTCCAATAAGAAACTTGTTGGCCGAAGAAACAAGAACAAAAAATATAGAACAATGACTTTCGCTGCTCTGATAAGAATCTGCTTGGGCAAGCAAAAGACATTAAGAGAGAGATAGGGAGAGTTCAAATGATTCATCTGGAGCGAAACGAGCAGCGACAACAACTTAACGGTGATGTGATGGGTGATGATATTAAAAAGCAGCTCGCAAATGCAAACATGTTGTCATTCCAACACACACTCGCGCACGCAAGCCGTTAGAATTTGCATTTTGACTTGACACACTGACAGTAACACACATATGTATGTATATACACCGCACATACAAACAATAAGGGGACATAACATCATCGTCAGCGCAGCAGCAACAGTAACAAAAACAAAAACAACAGTTACAACCACATTCCACAACACAACCACCCACAAAATACCATCAGCCCCCCGCAAACCACATAAACCCCGCCCACCTGTTTCATGGTGATTTTCTCCGTTGCTGAACTTTTGTCGCGGTTGATCAATCCTATTGGACTGACGGATACGATTAGAACAACGCGGGGGCGATAAACAAAAAACACAACGCAATGTTTAAACGAAAAGCACGACAAAACAAACGACAATTCGCAAAATGTTGTCTCAACTTTTAGAGCTGGAAAAACTTCGATGTCTGGATGCTCGATAGATTGTTTTTTCGATGTCGGTTTTATATCGATATTTGTTAAGCCCTATAAACAGTTGTGGCCAACAGTGTGACCGCAAACGAAAATACAAGACTTGAATATACTGAAATACAAATTTCAACAGACTAGGGTAATCCCCGTATTATATATTATCTTTCCAGTATAGAACAAGGTTTAATTTGATCTAATTTCCCTTTTATCAAAACCTTTGATTTTTAAATATATTATTTTAATAACATTAATATTAAAATATCAGAGGTGTTCCTAAAACTGATTAACGCTATGCTCCACGCTATCTGCATTTCGTGATTTGTCAATTATAAATTTAAAGATTAGATTTTCATATTATCAGCGCAGATTTATACGAATCATCCGGCCAAGAACGTGCCACACGGAATCTAAAAGAAATAAATATATATTATATTTGAGTCACACAATTATATTTGTTGTTTTATTAATTCCAAGGAATAATTCTTTCATATTCATGTCTTGTGTTTTTTATGATAGTTTTAGTCATTGATTTTCAACCAGAGTTGTAATTGTGATTTTCCCCCCTTTAAATTATCCGGTAAAACCTTACCACGTCATTGAAATTGGTCTATTTGGAATGGTGAATCTGCAAAAAACACCAAGGCTCATTGGTATTTACAATAAATAGTCATTTTCTATTGGAAATATTAGCGGTCACGCATCACTTTTGGGCTGCAGTGCTCCATGTAGCAGCCATTCGCGTCCTCCGGGCTGCTGACATCGCTCCAGAAGCTCCTCCAGACGCTTGGCTTGCTCGGATAGCTTCTCCTCTTTCAAAATCACGGATATTTCTTGCAACAGGGCATGCTGCATCAACTTGGGCTCATCCTCGGCAATGTAACGCCTCACACAAGCCACCAACTCCTCCAGATGCTCATCAACGGCACCGGGAAAAAGCTGCTCCATTGCGGCTGCCAGATTAAATAGGTATTCACGATTGGGGCCACTTGGACCAGCGGAGCTAAAGATTTGTTTCGCAATGCAGGGCACTTGCCACACATTGCCGGCATATGAGTCGTTCGCCTGCGTGGCCACGTACATGATCACCTCGATGGGCTTTCCGTCGCCAGTATTAATATTTGGGTACTCGTGGAACTCCAAGCTGCACCGCTCGTAGCCATTCTTCTCCCTGTAATCCAGATGATCCAGCACGCTACTCTTTTGACTAGCGGCAATGCGATAAGCCACTCCGTAAACCCGATCTTGGTTGGGATCACCCGGCAGCAAGGTAACCACACGACCGGGACGCTCAGGAATTCCTCGATGATCGATGCTGTGCTGGTAGAAGCGACGCTTGAAGCCCCAAATAAAACCGCGACGACGGTCTATATACGGGAAATCCGCCTTCCATACCAAAGACCCGTAGCCAAAAATCCAGACATCAGCATCAGTGACCGCCGGCGGTTCCAATTGATTGCTGTTCTCCGAATCGAAGCTGCGTAGCATGGAAAATCCCTGAGGCTTATCCTGATCAACCGACTTGCATCCATTTTCTTTAACTGCTTGGAGGATGTCCGCAAAGAACTCACTGTAGATGTCGCTGGGCAGCTGATCCTGTCCAGAACCGCTGCCTTGCAGTCCCTGCAGATAGCCCAACATCAAATGCCGTGCTTCCTTTGACAAATAATTGAAAATAAATTATTAACTTAAGGTGAGAATTTATCGATAACTTCGAAACTTATCGCTATCAGCTGTGAACCGCTTACAGGGCTGTCTAAATATTATTCAAAGAAGTAGTATCTAACCTTTTTCAAAATAACAATTGTGTGAAGTGCAATATAATATTCTGTCTGAATATATATTTTTATGAGGATATTTGATAAGTAATATAATTATAATCATTTATGTATTTGTTTGAATACAATACATAAAATTATCCTGACAGCCCTGCGTTCTCTTAAGCGAACAGCTGTTCATAGAGGACGTAAACAATCCGATTTTGAATCGGAATTACCTTAGAAATAACACCCCGGAAACCGCACAACCCCCATCAAAATGTCCGGCAAGGACGATCGATCGAAGGAGTAAGTACAACGTAATAGTGACTGACTGTCGGACCAATAAATTCGCATTATATTCCTTGTCTGCAGAAAGCGCAGGAACATGAAGCAGTACAATCATCATCATAAAAAGGATCAAGGACGATCCACAACCTCGTCGGGTTCTCCGCCGCCCACCTCACGTCGCAGTATGGTAGATGTGGCAGATTCAAGTGATGAGCCAAGGTTTGCCAGGCGTGGCAATTGGCAGTCTGGTGGCGGAGGAGGAGGTCGTTCCTCATTGCCTCCGCAAAGGAATAGGGATTTGCTGGAAACCCTGCCTAGCGACTCCGATTATGTAGCGGAATTGGGTCTGGATGGCGCACCAATCGATGAGAATGCCCGTGCCCAGCTACGGGCAGGTGACTTTCAGCAGTTGGCCCAGTTTTCCACTCTCGGCGGCGGACACTTCACTTTCGGTTCGGAACGTGAGTGGGCCAATGTAGCTGAAGGCCAGACCAAGCTAAACACTAAGGCGGCCAGTGGTTACTTTACTTTGAACCTATCACGCTTAAATGCAGGACTGCAAACGATTCCATTCTACAAGCGTATGGATTACCCCGCTTCGTTTTTCACTAAGGCTCAAATTGTCGCCCAAGAAGAGGCCGCTGAACGGGCCGAGACTACTTACCAGCAGCGAATCCTAAAGGATTCCAATGGCATCTCCAAATCCCGAGCGGCGTCAGCAAAATCGAATAAAGATGCAGCTCCCGCAGCAGCAGAGAAACCAGCTACTGCTGTTCCAGGTGCTGAAGTCGATGAACTCGACGAGCTCTTGGCCATGACCAATACACAACTAGACATTGGTTCCAGCGTTGGACCCATCACTATGCCCATGCCTATGCCCATGGTGCAACCAGCCACTCCTTCCTCGGCAGCCAGCAAGAACGATGTGGAGCAGTGGCTTGATTCTGTTTTAGATGAGTAAATCTTTAGGCCATGTTTTCAGGAGAATTGAGAAGACCTAGTACTAGTACTAGAGCACTTACCGGATAATTTCCAGAGCATTTTGAACTCGTTACGCTTACAAAATACATATATCGAAATCACAAAGTGCTTGCTTTTAAAATTAAAATATCACTAACACCTTTATATCAAAAGGTAGAACTTTTTTATGGTATACATTAAAACAGCAAATGCTTTGCTTAAGCACAAAGTTTGCGTTTTATATGAGGATAAATCTATCGTTTAGGTTACATTTTACTTCGATAATCAGCTTAAAGATTTTATATCCGAAAAATAAATGTTTAGGCGTAACTCCAAAGCCAAACATCCATAATTCAAAAACATTTCGAAGCATTAGGCATAAAATGCCTACTCTACTCTTTATTTCGGAAGCTGCAATGTTAAAAAAACCTTGAAAAACATTTAGTTTTAGCAATTTTCGCTTTTTTAGCCCCTTTACTTTGGAACTATGGCGTTTCTTTCCTGGTAGTACTTTACAAAGTGGCCATGCAGGAGTTGCATTAGCTCACATATGGCCTCCAAAAGTACCAGACGCTCATGTAGGTGTCCTAAATCCTCGTTATCCACCATCTGCGGACGCATTTCCTCAACAATGGCGATTAGCCAGCGAACCAAGATAGTTGAATCCTCTTTGGAGAGTAGCATCAACTCTACCGGCACACCGGTCTCTTGGCAAAACTGCTGGGCGTTACTACCGAGTGGTCCAAGCAGTAAAAGGCTAGATATCAAGCGTACCACCAGATGCAGAGCATGCAAATAGGATTGGACGTAAACACGGGGATTTACCACTGCGACGACGAGCAGAAGCGTTCCAGGTGAACGCAATCGGTGCGAATCCAGGCCCAAATCCGAAAGGCGATCCAACATGGCCCATAATAGGCAGTTGCCGATGACACGGCCCATTGTGCTAAGTGGACTGGCCACGCGGCAACAGATGATTAAGTTTAGCATAACGCTGGAATTGTTGGTATCCAACAGACCCAGCATAGCCACGCATATCTGGTGGATCTGTAGTGGGAATGTACGGAAAGTATGTATACATATATGTAAATAAGATTTAAACTCACATGGGTTTCCTCGGTGCAGGCCATATACTCAAAGCATTTCTGCAAGAAGAGTGTCCTTTTGACTTGGGTTGCTGCCAAATTCTCGTGATGTAGTAGATAGACCATCATCCCGGTAACATAAATCGGAGCCAGTTGATGTGCTCCGAATTCGATTACTTCCTGATTCAGTAATTCATCAAATCCTGAAATAAGCTAGAGAAGAAAGGGTAATACGAGTAATCCCAAACACAAGATATCTAACCTCTCACCTGGAGAATATTGTTAGTGCCATAAATGAAATAGCAATGCTCCCTAATGACAGAGTTACCCAAGGCTTGACGTAGTTGCTCCAAACTGAAGCCTTGGGGGCGCACCATATGACCCATAGAAAGGGGACACTCCTCCATTTGATTCAGTTCTGGGGCACAACTGGAAGAGGGAAGTACGCGTTACTTATGGACATGAAGATGGGGTCTTCAAGGATAACCATCTAGCCCTGCAAATTAGTGATGGAAAGATGTGTGTGCAAATGGCCAACGCTATTTTAATGAGCTTCACAACATTTTGACATGTTTACGAAACTCACTTGTCTCCCAGTTTGTGCAAGACAAGAAGTACAGTGGAAACAAGTATGGCGAAATATAAAATTATTATAAAATGGGGAATAATTGTTTGTAATGAGAAAGTACATACTCGTACATTTTTATATAATTACTAGGGTTAGCCCTTTAGGATTGTAAGTTTTTAAAATAATGTAATTACTACGGATTGTTTACTGTATCCTGTTATCTTGCTTGCTTTTGTCTGTGTGTGTTGGTGTGCAGTTGTGACTGTCCTTGCGCTGCTTTCGAAAAGGCTGGCAAAATGCAAATGCACGCGCGATGTGCGCATTTTAGCATAAAAGTCACCTGGCCTCCGTTTCCGCCTTCCACTTTTCCACCTGCCACGCCCACAGCCGCTTGAAGTTTCTTGCGTACTTGGGAAATATCTGCTCATTATGCATTCATATTTCATATTTCGCAATTACTTGCACACACACATACACTAATACAAGCAAACGGGCGGTAAAAAGCGCAAAAGGTGCAAGCGAGATGGCCATAACAACAGCAAAAGCGTTATGCGATTGTGTGTGTGTCTCCTTCTCTTTTGCTTGGTCTTTTCTTCTGCCTTTTTATCGCTTTCCTATTTCTTTTTTTTTTTGGGGCATATTTTGCACAGATTCCCATTGAAATTTCCATATTCACATTTTAATTATGCGTCGACATGAAAAGATTAACAACTTGTTTTTTTGCTAGCCAAGGCACCTTTTCTTTTTGCTTTTAATTATGCATACGTATTTGTTTACAAAATAAAATAAATGCAATGGTAGCCAACATAACCTCACTTTTTGGAAATTACTAGAAAACATAGCCTTAATTTGGTTAAAAAGAGGTTGGCAAAGCAAAGAATGCTAATAAGCTGGGATTATCAATAGCAATATGATGGAAACCGATTTCAATTAAGCCCTATATCTGAGTCAAGTGTGAAAGCCCAAAATCGCTATTCAATTAAGCATAACAAAAGTGCTCAATTAGCGAGGGTAGCTCATCAAGTTGAAGGGAAGGACCGAAGACCAGGCCAATTACAGACAAACATCCCTAAATTAAGCAGGTTTTTTTTTTAATTGATCCTAATAATGGTTTTCCTATAGTATTTAGGTAGTTATAATAACAATTTCTAAACAAAAAATACGCTTTAATTGCAACTTATTGATATTTTCGTCTTGTAAAAGTCGAACTGTGGTTAAAAATTCTAACAATCATATCGAGTTCACTTCAGATGGCGATGATAATAATAATCATGATGTTGGTGACAAGTGGCGAGCAGCTACTCTTTAATTTTTGGGGGTGGTACGAATTGATGAGGCGCTTGTTTGTTGTAACCAATCTGTGCATTTTACGCCTAATTTAAGGCAAATTGTCCACCCCACTTTTCACCCAACACTTTTCCAACCCAAACCCATCCACCAAACCAAATTTATTTTCCACTTTTTCGGCCTTTCAGGCCTCGGGGCCTGACAAAAGCCAACAGATTTTCATGTCATTATGCGTTGATTTGTGGCGTTGTTGAAAGGGAATCGGTTTGTTTTTGAGTTTTAGCTTTGGGTTCTATAGCCACCCTCCTTCCTACACACTTTTGTTGTTTACTAATGAAGTTGTTGTTTGTTTACACAAATGCCGAGTATGAAGTATGCAAATGATAACCATAGTGCATGTGAAATCAGATCCATCGATCCACCCACCAATTATAACGAATTTTTGTCATCTGAGAAAGCCGCCAGGGAGTCGCGACTGAGAAATTAGATAAGTTCTCAATGAGAATTCGAGATGTCTTGGAGTGCACTTTTTTGCAGATTTAGCAGAAAATTGAACAAGAGTTTCTGTAAATAAGAATTTAATTAGTTTATTCAATGATCTTATCAATAAGATAATGTGGTCTTTGCGATTAAAGGGATCTCGTGGATCTCGACTACGACAATCACTACTTTCACATAGCCAAACCTAGGTGTCTATCAAGGGGAGTTAAGTGCACCAACTCCCACCGGATCTATCATTATGTGTTATTATGGAGGCTACCATCAATAACTAGAATTCCATTCTTCAAAGGGCCAAAGATGCCTTGCCAAATAACACTGCTGAGCACATGGACCTAAGGGCACTGTAAATCTATCTGGAAAACTCCCATAGCCACACACAACATCATAATTCTGTGATATTTATCAGATATCAAATACCTAATATCAATTCGCGACGATTAACAATTGTAATGACCATTACTTTAATTATCAACCTAATAGTAGAACTCTACCTACATGCCTCTTAATGTTTACTAAAACTTTGTTTTCGAGAAGAAAGGTTCACTTTACAAATTTGTTGATTATATAGTTTTATTAACCTATATTTTATGAATAATTTAATAAGAACTCTCGTTGTGAATATCTCAATCAGTATAAGCTTTATCTATTATCTAACGGCATTAGATTTATTTCACTCACTGATCCATTGTTCGTTTGTCCAACAAATTGCAACTGATCGGTGGAATCTACTTCCGACTTTCCCCGTAAACTTTTTTGGGCAAAGCCAACCTGTTTGGCTCGGTTGGGGTTCGAAACTGTGGCAGGCGATCCAATCGCAGGTTCGATGGCCACACAATGGGACACAATGCGGCAATTAGGGATAAAGATCTCAGATAGCTTACTGAATGTGGAAATGGATGCAATTGTGGTTGTATCTCTGGGATAAGGACAAATAAACAAGTGTGGCACGGCCCGGGGCACAAACACAATTTGTGACAATTTTCCAACCGGATAATGACAAACATTTTAATCACAAAATGCGACTGGAAGAGCTGCCAAAAGGAAACCACCACCAATGGCAGTAGCTATAGCAGGATAACACACAAATTTTCACACAATATGGCAAACATCTCTTCTGAGCCATATCCTTGTCCGCCTCTTCCTTCCCACAACCGGAAGTCAAGTGTGTCGAGTCCTCTGTGTCCTGCCCAACCACGATGACATAATCGCCCCTCATCACAATCATTATGTCGAGAGTTCGTGGCTGCGGTTTCCCGGATTCCACTCCCCCTTTTCTCCGGTTTATTTTTTTTTATATTCTTGCCCTCCGGCTGGGCCACAGCAGGCAAAAATTTAAATCGAAATTGGGATATAATGACAAGGAGTAACTTTCAGTTCCTCCCCAGTAATATATATATGCATATTTTTATATATAAATACAGCTAAAGTCAAGTCAAGTGCTTTTTGTGGAAACTTCATTATTTTTAAATACTTAGGCGGTCAAAAACAATCATTACTTTTAGAAGTGGAATCTTGGTAGAGCTTAAGATGAAATTGTATTTATTTTTGACATTTTAGTTTAGATTAGGTTCAGGTATTTATTTAAATGGTCATTGTGTATATTTTAAGGCAAATGTATAATTAAATAAAAAGACTTTAAAATTTGTTTAAAGAACTGAAAATACTTTAAATTAATGTAGAAAGAGGTAGAAAACATTAGGAGCCCTTCATCATGACAAGTCAATTTGCGCTGAAAAGTATAATTCTTTTTTTTTGCACTCGCATGTGACTTTCGCCTGTGGTTTTTTGGAGCAGCAAATTATGTTAACTAGTTTCATAGTTTTCAGCCCGAATGCATACAAAAGCCAAGAACTTTCCCCCTCCTTTCTTTTCACTCGTTTTTTTTTTGCTGTTTTTAATTGCAAAGTTGGCAAACGCCGAGAGCTTAATGCAATTAATAACTCATTAAATAAATACAAATCAAAGTGGATGATGACCACGCTCAAAGGAGGAGCAAAAAAAGGGGGTAGAAAGAGGAGCCTTTGTGCTCAAAGGATAACTGCGTAAAATGTACCAATTAAAAATGCTATTCAAATCTCAATGGCTGCGCAAATGAACCGCATGAATGTGAGAATTTGTGAAAAGTGAAAAAAGTATGAAAAAAAAGTTTGTAAAAGAGGAAGAACCATCATGAATCATCATCATCTATCTGCAAGTGGCTGCCGCTGCTGCTGCTGCTGCCGCTGCTTGTTTGGAATAATGGGGGTTAGCAGATGCATTTTATTCATTACATTACATTCACATTTCATAGACAATTTCATGGGAACGTTAACTCGCTTTTTTCTGTTTCCATTTCTGCATTTTTCCCATTTCCATTTCAGCCATTTTTTCCTATATTTTGTACCCCTCTTCTTTGGCTTTTCCTTGTGTTTCCGGTGGCTCCCTTCAAGTATCTTTTTAATTAGCGTTCTGTACCGCTCTGCACCACTCGAAAAACTACTCGGCCCACCAAAGATATCCGCCCCTCCCGTCTGTCTGCCACTGCCCCTATATCACATTTTATAACCAACCCATGGGCTTGGTTGTGGGGCATAGTATATCCCTCTAGACCTCTCTCTCGCTCGTTAACTCACTCACCGCAGATTCAATTTGTTGCTAAACATTTCTCCTCCTTTTTGTGTAGCGAGCTAAATGGGCATGAAAATATAACTGTAACTACAGATGATCCTCTGTGATGAGAACTTAGTGGATACTGAAGCATAATGTCATGTCATGCTGTCAACACAGTGAGCATATATAATATTAATATTATTTAATATTATAATTACCCATAAACACTGAGATGACAAAGTACCTAAAACAAGACTTATACCAAACATTAAAGATTATTGCTAAATTTTGCTATCAGTTTATGTTAGAGAATACTGACTGTATATGACACTGCTGCCGCATCCTCAGTCGCATCCTCTGTTGCCTGGACGAACTGTGGCCGTCCTTTTCTGGCGCACGCCCCCGCTCATGCGCGCTCTGCGCTCCGTTGGCCCGTTATAATTGCAGGCAGAGTTGTTGCTTGTTTTCCAGTTGGCTGCTTTATCCCAGCTCTCTCATTCCTCTTTCTCCACTATCCCTCTCGCTTGCTCCCCACGTTTTGGCGCCACCAAACGAATAATATATATATGTATACGTATGATAGAGTGTGGGGCTCTCTATATACAGTTAGATAGACGGAATATCTTGCCGTTGGGTGGGGGGCATATGTCGCGGGTTATTTGCTATATAGCGACAAATTGATAACGTTTTGTGCGATTCGCTCAAGTTGATTTTCAAGCATGACTCACAGCTCACCGATTGCAGATTTTCAGATGGGCGAGCGGCATTTAACCGTTACGTTGCGTTATGTTCGTCCTTTGTGCGCCCATTGTTCTCAAATACCAATTTAAATAAAGTCAAGTAAACAATGTCTTAATCGTTTGTGATCGCTAGTTATCGATTTTTAAATTAAGAGAATATCAAAATGATATATTAAAAAAAGCCAGAAATAAAGAAATTACTTTAAGAAATAAAAAAGGATATGAATTCCGTTAGTAATAAATTAAATATTTAAAATGAAGTTTAAGATCTGAATGCCTTACCAAAAGATCGGCATATTTATCAAGTAATAGATGAATTTTTTCAACTCCCAAGTAAAAACTTCTTAGGAAGTGCATTTAAATGTTTATTCTGGCCAAAAAAAAACGTTCATAGAGTGCGAAGAAAAAAAATCGTTTGGTTGTTGTATTTTACAGTTAATTCGACTAAGCTTAGTTTATGATTATATCTTTTTAGTACGTATAATAATAATATCGGGTAATGCTTGGTAAATATGAGCACATCGCTGTCATTTCAATAATTCATCCCGATCGGTTATTGCACAGAAACTGTTATCTTTATACGCATTATGTACATAGGCAACTGGGAGTATTGGAGGATTGGAAGGTGGTGTTGTGGTTTCTTCTTGATAGGCATGACTCCTACATTGGACATCCATGGACGTATCCAACGTTTCGGAAAATGGCTGCCGCTGCGGCGGATGTGAGAAAATTGCACGGATTGCTGGCAGCCGCTGCAGCAGCAGCAGCGGCACTAAAAGAACTGCTCAGGCCGCTAGGACAACAGCCCAGTCCGCCTGCACCGCCGCCATCCTGCACGACAAAGTCTTTTTCCATGGTCGCCTGATGACGTAGCTGCTCCAGACGCAGTTGATTCTGTCGCTTCCATTTGGTCCTTCGATAGAAAAAAAAAACAAGTAAAATGATCGATTATTTAGAATTGCCACATTGTTACGATCGAAAAAGGGATTAAAGGATTGATGGAAAAAGGAAAACAAAATCAAAGTAAAATATAAACACTCACCTCCGGTTCTGATACCAGGTTTTCACCTGCGTCTCGGACAAATTGAGCGTTTCAGCCACATCACTGCGATCGGCAACGCTCAGGTACTTCTGGCAGCGGAACTTTCGCTCCAAATACGCAAGCTGGGCGTGTGTGAAGGCTGTTCGGCGACGTCTCGGCTTCCGGCCACTTTTACTCAGCTGCAGCTTGTGCTCCGCATAGCCGCCACTTCCCCCACCGCCCGATCCGGGACCACTGCCTCCATTTGGATCTCGATCGCCGCTGGCACCACTGGCCGCTGCTGCCAAAAGGCCAGCGGCCACTCCGGCCGCCGCGGCAGCTGCGCTCAGGCCACTGGGAACTCCACCACCACCGCTACCTCCTGCCGATCCAGATCCGGATCCTGGTCCACGGGTGGCCGATAAGCAGGACTCAACACTAGAGTCGTCGTGGTGGGTGAATCTGCGATGATGATGGGATAGCAGAAGATCCTGCTGGCAACCCGGTGCCGTTGAGTCTGGTGTGGAGCGATCTTCAATGTCTATATCGGAGTCGTCGTTGGATAACTCTAGTTCTGAAATTAAATATTCGATTAAAACTTGATTTGGGAAACTTATGTATAAAGCTATTTTTATTTTTAGATGGGATATATATTTTAAGAGTATGATTCTCGACTCTTTTACCAATTTTAAAACAATAGAAAAACGGACAGGTCCTTGAAATGAAAAATACATTTGTAAAAATAAGTTTTTAAAAGAATTCAAAACCCATTGACTGACCACTTCACGAAATTTAAATGAAGGAAGAGAGTTAATTTGAAGTGGGCAGCGAAATGAAGATACTGCCAGTAAGATACTGTTGCCTGCTTTTGGGCGCAGCGTGGCGTTAATGCTTTACTGTTCTTCTGCTTCTTCATCTTTTTCAGCGCGTGCAGCCACTTCCGGTTGAGAAGCGCACCGGGAAACTCATTACCGCACCACATCCGACAATAGACAACGCATCAACGGATCAAATCGAATCCGGATATGAGTGTGAGTCAAGTGGGCGTTGGTCCATTAGGATGATAGGGTGGTGAGATATCCGATGAGTTGCAATTTGCAGCAATCAACGTGTTATTTATATCCGCCGCACATATTTTTATTTCAGGACCTCTCTCATCCTTCCAAACGAAAATCCAAATCGGACTCTGAGTCAAAATCGGACGCTGCGGGCTGCCTGATTAAATTCACGTGTCGTCGGGCATTGAATTGTTTTTTTTTTTTCCTATTGGAATTTATGTACATGGTCTGCTCTACTTTGCACTTTTCACATATAAATATATGATTTTTCCCAGTGGCGTTTACTTAGCATTCGAGTTTTGAAAGAACATCTTCTTCGATTCTGCGAACCTGAGCGTTCGCCGCAGGCGCTCACGTGTGTCCGCTCAGCGAGGATTCCTTTTCCGCCCACTTTTCGAGTGCCAACTGAACGGGCGGAAATTATTTTTACATATTTGTGTATTTTAACCCCAAATGGGTTTCGACTTCTGATTCTATTTATATCGAATTGTGCAGACAGGACGGAAGGGTAGATGTTGGATATTATTCATATGATGGGATATTCAATTATTCGTGTGTGTGTGTGTGTGTGGATATCCTGGGGAGCGTCTCGAGTGAGTTCTTTCTTTTTCCTCGAAAAGTCACGTCGTATCAATTTGCGGCACAATTGCCATTTAATAGGCACTTGAACTGTGAGACATACATATGTATATAACAAAAAAAATGAAGGAGATAGACCAAATGGAAAGGAGAAATCTGGGGAGAAAGTGGGAGAAATGTGCTCGCATGTGCCGGCAATTTAGACTTGTTCAAGAATTACGGATGTCAGTCCTAAACAATCTTCACTTCAAAATAAAACAATAAATTTAACATTTTTAAACATTAAAACATATTTAACCATGTCTGCATTTAATTATTTCTACAAAAGTTCAAGGAAAAATCGAAAGCAAACACACACTTGAAGTAAAAGTTTCACTTTCTCCTTCTAACTGCCAGCAATTAGCATCTAAATAGTTGTAATTGTTGAGCTAAACTTTATTTAATGTCATGCCTAATTAGAAGATAACACATCATGGCCCATGCAGTGGCTCAAACCAAAAAAAAAAAAAAAGCATAAGTAAGCGGGCACCTGAGGCGGTGCACTGTGAAAATCAATCTGTAAATATTGCATTTTCTGTTATAAGATTATTATACTTTTTAAGTCAGTTAAAATCTGTTCTAGTATAAGATATTTTCTAAATATTTATATTATACCATGACAAAGGCAATTTATGCAATAATCAAGGATATTATGAAAGGAATTTTCAGTGTACTTGTGCAAGGATGCGAAAACATTTGTCATGGCTAAGTTTTCAGTCGCATTTCCATTTCCATCCACCATGTGGGATTTTCCCTTTCGGTTTCTGCTCCCCTGGCTAAAAACAATTAAAGTGTTCGTACGTGACAAATTGCTCGAGCGCAGGTTACGAATAAAGCAGTGTCAAAAGCAACAAAAATAATATTAACTGCTGGCCACACTTGGAGAAAAAAAGGGTACTAATTTGTATTAATTTAATCTTTGAAATGGTGAAAATTCCAAAAGAAAAATCTGCCTTTTTCTTCTAAGACCAAACTTAAACTAATATGATTTTCTAGGGTTAATCTTTCAGTAAGGTACACTGCTTATCTTTCGTTGCCAGCAAGCAGTGCACAATTAAACTACTGCCCCAAGCATTGGTTTTTGTTGTTCATACAATATATATAGTCCCTCTTCCTCTTGCCTCGTATCCACATCTCACTCCCTCTGACTTCCATCTCCCTTACTCCGCTAAAAGTTTTTGTTTTTGTGATAATTGAGCGAAGTGTGAGATTTAAATGCCACAGGCTGGCAAAAAAGAGATGACAGAATTGGGGGCGCCAAAAGTCGACAATGAGCAAGGCAATTTGTCAGCGGTTTTAACTGAAACCCATCCATCCACCCCTTCACCACTCCTCCCCCACAAAAAAACCCAACAACAAAACATCAAAGGATGGGAAAAAGGAACAAAGGGCACGCTAATTGGCCAACAAAGACGTTTAATATATGTAAAAGATATGTTGGGTTATATTTGATGGCAAGACTAGGGAATAAAATCCTGTTTTTTAAACCTAATTTATAGATTTTGTCAAGTTTTTTAATATATATGATTTAATTTCATGTATATATATAATAAATATCATTTACTTTTGTTTTATTTTTAGTGTAGAATGTAATAAATAAGTGTTTTATCTTTATAATTCAACGATTTAACAACTCACTAATCATTTAAGATTTAAATCATTTGATTTCGCCTTTTAAACTTCTAATAAATTTCAATTTAAATTTCATTTTGATTTTTAGCGATAATTTGATGCATTCTCACCCGAATCTGTTTGCCGTCGATTGATCAAATCCCCAAGGAGATCACGTATTAAAAATGATTTCGAACTCTGCATCTTAATAGAGATCTGCAGTCCTTGTAGTAAAAATATCCCTAAATGTGATTTGCAGATGATTTTAGACCAGGCTTTGATGTAAATGGTCAATTTTTAACATTTTTGCACTTGAAACTGAGAATTAACATTAACAAAAATCTATAATTTCGGTATTCTTTTAAAGATCTGTTTTGTTTTTCTTTTAAGTTTTTAAATGATTATCCTTTTTTTTATCCCTATGCATTTAGCCGTCGGCAGTGGTACATATGTAAATTTAGTGATTATCCTTCGAATCCAGGATCTGTTCTACGCGTAATCAAATTTTTCAGGACGAACACACATACACACAGACAGACAGAAAGTAACGGCAACTGTAACTGAACCGCTAAGCGCCGAGTCAAATGAACAACTGAAATGCGAAACGTCGAACGTTTATTAATCCTTTTAGCGAACATCGCCAGGATTCACCCCCTCACACGCACACACACACACACATATACAAACAAACACATACACAAGGCAAGTGAATTACGCGGATTTGTTGCTGTAAACGGGACAGTTTAGCGCCCACGTCGACGCCAGCGTCAGCAGAGGAAATCTCTAAAAAAAAAAAATAAATGAAAAAAAACATATAGCTACAAAAAGGAAACTTTCGCAATGGCCGCTGCCATTTAACCGTTATTTAATCAGTTGCTTTAGCCACACAGCATCATGCCATCTTGCTTACTCACCGACTTCCGTTGTCCCGTTAGCCATTTTGTTTACTGTTAGCCGTGTAGAAAGCAGGCTACCATAAGCCAGTTGTCTCGCTTCTTTAGTACAGGGTTGCCGCCTTGCCATTGGTTATCATTTTGGTTAACTACCCCTAATGCTCTGGCGAAGAAACGCAACCCTTAGAGCGTTATCGTTACTGCTAGCCCAGTCTGATGTCGTCGTTGAAATCTCTGGCAGTCGCGGGAGTTACGAGCTCGCAATCGCACCGGAGTGCCAGGTAAAAGGTTAAAAGGACACGAAATCATTTTTACGCGTTCCGTCGGCAAGTCTTGTTTAAAAATCGCTGTCTAAAAAGCATAAACTAGACAGCAATTTACTAGAATATTTCAATTTTAAACATATTTTCTTAATATGTTGAAGTTATAGTTATCAATTTCAATGTAATTACTAATTCTGTTTGATTACAGAGAAGACTAAAAACATTTTTAAAGTTATCTATTTTTAAAAGATTTTAAAGTCAGTATATCTAAGGTTGTTTGCCTCTAGATTGCAGGACTGTAGGACTGTAGTTCGTAACTAAATCTAAATCTAAATCTAACAATTTTAATAGGAATGCTATATTCTACTCTGGGATTCATCAATTAGATCTAGAGCACTTATGGCTGCACCCAATAAATGTATTGAACCGGTAACAAGGACATCAAGTTTTCTACCGTTATCCAACGATTGAGGAAATCTTCGCCTGATGGCGGTAAAAGCATCGATCAGTGTGTCATACACCTGACCCTCATCCTTTTGCTTGTTCTTTTCACAAATTCTACACCATTCTGTGGCTATGATCTTAGCCCGTTTTAATTGCATTTCGGGACTAAAACGAACCATCACTTGGCTGGGAGCATTTGGCGTGGAGGTGGCCAAATTGGGCACAAAGCAAACCATATCGAAGGCACAGGTACGATTTAGTAGCTCCAGCAGAGGCTCAAAACCGGATTCTCCAGTCCGATTGAAAATTAAGATTTTGGGATTGACACTGAAAGAAGAAATCAATCAAATCAATTGGATTTAGCTTAATATTCCTGATCCTTAACTCACCTATTTTTAATGCTCTTTCCAAACCAATCCGCGCACACAGCCATGCTTTCCAGTGTGTGTGCTCCGTCCAGATGGAGTCGCAATCCGTGCCATTCGACCAGCTGACATCGACCTGGCCAATGGGTGCTGATCAAGCCACGCAGCAGTTCTGCATCCATTTTAACCTCATTTGGGATGTGATCCTTTTGCAAAGGTTTCCTCGCCTGCGACAACCAATCACCGGCCAACTGGATCGCAAGTGAACCATTCAGACGAATCATATGACTGAAATTATCCCGAATCGATTCATATGCCTCAGCTCGAAAGTAATCCTCTGTGGGTGGTACTTCGTAAAGTATGGCTGAGTTCTCCTGCGTCCGCTGACGGATCACCTGCAGGCATTCCGGCTGTGTGACATGCGTAAAGACATGCGATCCCGGCTTTATGATACCCGCCTTTTGCCAGGCAATTTCTGGAAGTGTTCGACCCAATAGCTCTGTGTGCTCCAATCCCAGCGATGTGATGCCCACAGTCCGAACATTTCTGACAATATTTGTACTATCGTGTTCACCACCGATTCCCACCTCCAAAACGACTACATCTACGTTTTCTGCCACGAAAACATGAAATCCAAGGATAGTTAGGAACTTGAAATAGGCGGGCATGTCGTGTTCGTGTTCCCGCTGATCCCACAGTCGATTATAGACCTTCCAAAACTGTTCCGTAAACTTTTCCTTGGCCAGCAGTTGGCCATCGATCCGGATCCGTTCGTTAGTGGACAATATGTGCGGGGAACTAAAGAATCCTGTACGGACGCCTTGATGACGCAGCAGGGATTCGGTCAAGGCGCAAGTGGATCCCTAAGGAAGATGCAAAAATATCAGATAAAATATTTATTAACTAATGGTTATTAATAAAAGTTGTTTTCATTGAACTTTCATAGAATTCATATCTTAAAATTGCTTGAAAGATTTATATATATAAACTATATATTTTCTTATATTAAAAATATTAACTATGTATATAAAAGCCAGCCGAAAATTTCCATTTCAAGAGTGAAGTGGAAAATTATCAAAATTTTAATCCACTTGGAAACCGTTTTTATCTGATTATATTAGTTATCTATGAACGTGTCCCTCGACGTGCCAATAAAAAGCAGAGAGCTCATAGCTCATTTTATGAACAAATGAAATTAGTCAAAAAACAACAGATAGTAACGTTTCGACAAGGTGATACTCTTTAAACGAAATTTTTCCCTCAAAGTGACAGTATTCTTCTCATAACTAAGCCAATAGTGGACCAAATATGAAATGTCATACATCGCTGGAATTGTAACTAAAATTACAACAAAACTGCATTCACAGTTTAAAATGTAAAATTTTGGGCCATTTTTTTTAAATTTTAATGATGGTACCCCTTATCAAAAATCCGATTTTTGGGATTCCCCGATTTTCCCCTCAACTGACAGTACTTTTGCTTTAACTAAGCCAATAATGGCCCAAATTTGGAATGTAATACCTCGTTGAGCTTGTTTTCTAATTCTTAACAAATTTGCAATCAAGGTCAAAAAAGTTAGATTTTGATAAATTTTCCCAAAAAAAAGATGATGTTACTTATAATACCGTAATTTATATTACATATTTTATACAACCGATTGATGAACCAATAAAGGGTATCAAAAGCCAAAACAAATCCATCAAAAATACATAAATATCAAATTGAAAGCTAAATAAATCTTATCAGCAATTGAGCGATTGGCGGTCTCGACAAGCGGCAGAGAGAGAATGAGCTCTCTGACTAGAAGAGAGTGAGAGGTGAACAAAGTTGATTAGCCTAATTATAAACCAGCTGATGTTGGATAACAACTAGAGTATGAAGAAAACTTCAAAGCAAAACAGAAAGAAAAACTGAAGGCGGAAAACAGGTTAAAGAACTTGATATAGCTAACCTTGCCCTTGGTACCGGCGACATGAATGAAGGACAGCCGCTCGACGGTTTCAAGCGACAGACCGCTCCGCTCCAGATATTTAACGGTATCCGCCTTTGTATCCACACGTTTATTACTCATTGAATGTTTAATAGCAGCATCGTTCGACTGCAAAGAGTTTAACTTCCTGATAGCCTCCTGAAAAAAATATAAAGAAAAAGTTGTCATTATTTATAACTTAAAAAATTTTAACAATATAATTGCCTGTCAGCTTTTGAAATGTTTACTTTGCAGCCGCAGCTTTGCATATAGACATTGGTATTTTAATCACATTTCAAGCACATATCTATTTTTATAGCAATCAGATAAATATTGTCAATATTATTAGTGAGTTTTAGATAGCTTCTTTACTATTTGCACAAAATATTGCCAGAAAGTATGCTATTAGTTTTCAGATTTGCAGACTGGGTATTCCTCTTCAATTTACTAAGTTTTTCTTCTACTAAACTTAATGTTTTTGTTATTTGTTTTTATTGTTATGTAGTATAGAGTATTATTTATTACTGGGTAATTATTATTTTGTCAATGAATTGACAAAAATATGAACCGTTTAATGTCTTAAAATATCAACAAATTTTAGAAAACCTGATAAGTCTAACATCATAATGCTATGAAAGCTACACTTATCAGTTTGATAAAGTGTAAAACGATATCATCAATATTCAGTATATCAATGTTATGTGCTAATATCTGACCTATATTGATGTATTATCTTTTTATATATAAGTGCTAATTATATGTATTTCATTGAATTTACCTCAAAGGCGTCATTTTCTGTATTGTTGTTTTTGTTATTGTTATTTCTGTTGTTGCAACCATTATTGGTACTATGATTTCCATTAATACCCTGTAATCGGGGATTTAAGACGCGTTCGGCTAGGCTAACACCCAATCCTGAACATGATACCGCCAAATGATCCGCCATCCGTTGGGTGTTTACTGTACTGAGGTTAGTCAGTGTACTGTAAGTGGGGAATGTACTAAGAGAGTTTACTGTACTGTACAAAAGGTCAACGGCTAGCGATCGGGGCTTGCGAACAAAATGGACTAAACGACCCAACTGACGAGCAGCCATATTTATAGAGCCGGAACGGTTACCGCAAACGTCCGGCGATTGGCTCTCCGGCCAAGCCTCTCTCACAGCAGCAATCACAGGTGCTACCGATGGTATCTAATAACAAATATAATAGAAACGAGAAAAAACTGGTAAATAAACAAGACCAATTAAAGCATGGAAACAGAGTGAAAATGAGAGCAAGAAATCTGAGATATGTTGAAAAACGCGTGTGCGTGGCTTGTAAATTCTAGACAATCCCAAATTGACCGATAAGATTTAATATCAGGACAGCAAAAATGGTAATAAGTTAATAAATCTTTGTTAATGGCCACGTATATTTAAATATTGCGCCAGATAACGGATAACGATTGCCATAGCTGGATATCCAAGTTCGATAACAAAAATATCGCACACACACGTGCTAAGAACACAACACACTAACACTATTGCAGTCCAAATAAACATTACCAGTAATTCCAATAAACAAACTTGATTTTCATTGAATTTCAAGCCACTTTACACTCAATTCGATATGTTTTTACTCTAGATTATCACTTTTTTTCATTGCTGCGATTAACAAGAGCTTTCACAATTTGTTTTGCAATGAAACTAAAATCAACGTAATCGCAAAATCAAAAAAAAACACGATAACACGACGCACAAAATAGCATGTGGACGACGAACAGCTGATTTAGCAGCAGTGTTGGCATGCGGGCCAAGCTTTAAGCGTTTTGTTTTTTGCCGCGACATGGTGTTTTATCACACAAAATATATACATATATCTATGTTTCTCAATATAATCCATCTTGAAATATATAAATTTTTAAGCTTTCCTCTAAATTTTTTTTATATCTGTTTAAGAATAGCTACCCTTTTTTCTAGCTATATATGTATCTTCCATAGCTGGTTTTTAGCTAGCCTTAGGCAAAGAACAGTTGCTCAGCACTTTCGAATGTAAACAATAGCAACACGCGGATTCAGTTGGAATTTAAACAAAAAGACAATGTCCGCGGAAACCAGCATTGAGACTAGGTATTTACAAAATTTTAAGTATTGTACGATATATAACCAACGATATTCTTAAGTACGATGCGCCTGGGAATATGCGAGGTATGTGCTGCCAAGGAGGCGCGTTATGCGTGTCCCAAATGCGAGGTGAAAACGTGCAGCCTGCCATGCGTCCAGATCCACAAGAAGGAGCTTAACTGCGATGGCCAGCGCGATCGGACCAAGTTCGTGCCCCTCAGCGAGATGACATCGAGGGAATTTATGAGTGACTATTGCTTTTTGGAGGAATGCACCCGCTATGCAGAAAATCGGAAAACCGATCAGTGTAAACGATTCACCCACGATCAAAGAAATCTTCCTGTGGCTCAGCATCGGATGCGGACAGCGGCCAAGAGGCGTAATATTGATCTCCGATTACAATTGGCAAATTTTAGCCGGCACAAAGAGAACACCACATATCTAAACTGGAAGTTGGGGAGGTTCTATTGGCGCGTAGAATGGCTATTTGCAAACATTCCCATCGAGATGAACCATTCTAAGGATGTGGTGCGATTTGTGGACGATCGATGTGATGAGGAGGTTACGCTGTCCGATCTAATTCTCAAGTATGTTGATCTGAAGGAGGAGACGGCCCGGGATAATCGCAAAGTGCTGGCGAACCACCAAACTGCTGGCATTGGGCAATTGTATTTTTGGCTAAGAGCCGAGGGCGTCCGGCGCAGCTCCACAAGATGTTATCCATTGGAGGCAGATAAAAAGCTGGGCGACAATCTAGTCGGCAAGACCATTGTGGAGTTTCCAACCATTTTCGTTACCTATGAATCGAAGCCACCAGGAGGACATGAAGCCATCGACAGCAGTAAGTCTCAAATCATGCTTGTCATTAAAGTTATGTGAATTATAAATTTCAACAAAACTTTAAGGTGAAGAACTCGAGGAGGAGGAAGAGCTACCTGTAAAGAAACCAAGACCATCTTCAAAAAAAAGCACAACTGATGAAGAATCCGATGAGCCTCATGATGTCTACCATGATCTGGCTGCAGGCTTTGCTGGTGAAGATCTGAGTGAAGCTGAAGACGATGAAGAATTTGAGGCACTTTTTAAAGAACACCTGGAGCAGTAGGATCAAACGCAGGGCATCCCTGGAAGAAGGCATAGAAAATGCTCCCAAAGGAACCAAAATAACCCATTAATAATCAACATTATAAAATCGAGACAAATATCCTGAAAGGTCGTAATGCCATTCGTAACCATTAATACTTAAGTAAATAAAACAACTAGCTTATACATATATTTTTACATAAATGTTTTTTCTCGTATGCATTTGATTTCATTTGTATTTTAGGCTAATTTAACATTAAGAATTCATACCACACTTCGTTTCAATCTAGTTCCATCATATTACCAATCAATCATGATCATTATAATATTTGTATATATATATATATATTTATATATAAAGAAGGTTGAAAAATCAAGTTACAAAGCCTTGGGTTAATCGTAATTTGTGTACACATTTTGAGTACAGAGTTTGTGGTCAAATACACAGCAGTTTGTCTCTATATCTGGAGGATTTCTAGTTTTAATTTTGATATACCAATTAGCATTTAGCATTTTGTACATAATACATATGTGTGCCAGTATATTCCTTCCTATATAATTTCATTATTCATACCTTCATTCGTTCTATATTCTTTGCTTTCGTTTTTGCTTATTTATTTTTTGCCTGCACCAGTTATTTTATTATTTTTATATATTATTTAAATTAAAAATTAAAGCATAAACAAACAAGTTCTAACAAATAAACATTTTCAAAATGCATTTTTTAATTTAAACAAATAGATATATAAAAAAAACAGAAAAACCATTTTAATTGCTCTAAAGATACATTTATAATTATAAATATAATTGGAATCATTTGCATATTTCACACCAATCGTAAGAAAGAGACACAGATAGAAGAATACATCGAGAAAGAAAGAATCAGGGAGAACAATTCATTTCAGTTCTTAATCGCTTATTAATCCAATATCAATTTTGTAGTTATAGATAGATAGATAGTTTTAGTTATACAGCATTTAGATGTGGAAAATACAGCAATACAGCATCAATCAATGTGAATTCCGAATTAATGTCTGACCTCCTTCGAATACATATTCATACAGCTAAACAAAAAATAATCATAAAAACTATGCAACATACAAAAGAAACATGTATATAAACAGAAATCGGTAGAGAAGTGGGCGTGGGGACGTGGAGGGGCATGTGTATATATGAATAATAGAGGGTATGGGATTTGGGGAGGGGGATCGTATAGTTTACATAGAGAAAATTTACATATATAATTCGCTAGTCGTACATAAATCGCTTTCTTCATCGTTTCCTCAATTAATCATTCACTAAACGTTAAGACATCGATCGCACTTACAAACACACACGCACACACACTCACATGCGCACAAATTTATTAAAATTATGTGTTTAATTTTTTAATTGGGTGAGTTAATTTAGTAGACCAACACACACGAAGATAGGACAGACAGACAGAAGTTAACGAACTATAGGATCTTAGAAAAAAATCGTTGGGTCAACTTTTCCCCTGCTGGAAAGTTGACTTTTTTCGTTTGAATGTGTGTGTATATTTTATGCATGACTGGGTGTGTGTGTGTGTGTGTGTTAACGGTCACCGGTTTCAAAAAGGTTTTCTTGTATTTTCTTTTTACGTAGCTTCGAAGTGCTGCTGCAATAAAAGAATAACCCCATCAATCAGGCATCATCCTCTATCTTCTGTCTCAACTCACATCTCGTTGGCATTTGTGGCAGCCCTTTTAATCACAACATCCTCCTCCTCCATTCGTGTAAACCTCTTACTCCAGGTCCCAAGGCTTCTGCTCTTTCTATTCCCCGCATCAGGATCACCTTACTGCTGGTGCGTAGGCGCTGCTCCGGGGACAAAGTAACCGCCCTGGGGAACCGCAGCCGGCGCCATAATGGGAGCCAGCACATTCTCTGGCGCTGCCGACATTGGCGCACCCGAGGGATTGAACACATCCACGTAGGAGTTCTTCAACGCTGTAGAAAGGAAAAATATGGGTCAGTAATGAATGAAGCTACCAATAATAACCGGACTTACTTCGGTTGCGCTGCATCTTAAACATGTTCGACTGCAGCTTGGGCTGTGGCCCACCGGGAGCGGCCGCAGGATTGGCAGCCGCCGCTGCTGCCACCGGTGCAGGTGATGGGACAGGTAGTGGTGCCGGCGATGGAACCGTTGGTATCATCTCGGGTGCCGGAGCAGCCGTATAGTCAATGGGACTTCCATACAATTGCGGCTGAGACGAAGGTTGCTGATCCATCAACGGTGCAGGTTGATGGGTGCCCAACGGATTGGTGGCCATGGGCGGTAACGCTGCACCCAAGCCCATTCCCAGTCCAGGAGCTCCTGCTGCTGCCGCTGGTGGTCCTGCAGATGGCATGCCCATACCCAGATCGCTCATTTTGGGTGGCGGTTTAAAGCTCTCCGCCTCGTCGCCATTGCCCTCGGTGTTTGTCCAGCATTTGCGTTCCTTATCCCACACGATAGTCGGATTCTTGTCGTCCGGCAGGATCATTTGATTCTTCGGCTTAAGCGACAGCTTGTTCCAGATTCCGCCAAACCAGCCGGAATTCTGATTGCCAGGTGCACTATGAAAAAAAGGCAGAAAAAAACATTATTTAAATAGTCTATAAATCGGACTCTTTACCACCATCGATTATAGTATTTAAGACTCACCCAAGATCGCCGCCAGAATTGGACTGTTTGCCCGATGTCTGCTGTTTACCGGCAGCTTCAGAAGAGCCTCCAGCAGAGGGTTTTTGGCCAGGATGTGTCGTTGCACCACCGGCACCGCCATCGTCTTCATCACCATAGCTCTTGGACTTGGGCATGGAAATCGCTGGGCGCGCCTGCTGTTGCAGCTGATCGGTTCGGATTGCGAAAATCGGAGTTGGAGTTAAGAAATGGCATTGGATTAGTCTACTGCGAGAAGCAATCAGTTAAGTCTAAAGTCATAGTTCTTAGGTAGAGTGTTTAGGTTGGTTAGTAAGTAACATAGTAGTTATTAGATTAGTTAAATCGAATCGAATGAACAACGAAAACGCATGGCAAATTAACTGGCGCAGTCAAAAACCTCTCTTGCTCACAATTATCATATAAGGCTTAGTGTTAACAGATTGCTTAAGAGACATTATAACTAGTTATAGATTTAACAGTTAAGACAAGATCCAGGTACAGAAAGGCAGCGATGCACTTACTCCTCCTTTTCTTTCTACCTAACCCTTTCGATTTATGAATACTGATCTTTTTCTGGGTACTACAACTGCATTTTTTCTTGTGACTGTCTTTACAATTTTTTCTTAGATCTAAGAGTTAGACCAGCATTTGTGGCTGTGCTGCTCCTATGGCCTCGTCGAGTGGGTGCATCGATGTCAAATGTGCGCACTGGGCCTGCTCCTGGATGCATCTGTTGGTCCTTTTTGCTGTCCAAATAGTTCTCGAATCGACTGAGGCTATGCTCCACTTCGGTGCACATTTTCTTGTAGTTAAGTGGTATGGCCGGATTGGCTATCAATTCCTCCATAGACCAAACGTGTTGGGGCTGGGCAACAGATGTGGCAGCCTCCACGTTACCCGGTGTTCTTTCAGCCCTTCCTGACTCTTTGGTTGATATTATCCCATACTTGTTAAGCAGTTCATGGGTATAGTAATCGCCATCATCAAAGCTTTCATCGTCATCGGCGTACGGGAATAGATCCTCATCCGCATACTCATCATCCTCGCCTTCTTCTTCAGCCTGTTCCTCACCCTCGGCATCTTCATCTATTACATAGTCATGGAGCATGTAGTTCCTATAACGCTGTAAGTCTCCAATATCTGCATTAGCTTCCGGGTCATATGAGTTGCTTTTGAGTTGACTTTGCCCTTGGGTCAGGGGCATATCAATGGGATAAGTGCCATTAAAGACAATGTGCGGTTTTCGCGATAGATGTACGTGGTTTGGTTTAGCTTGTGCCAAAGCCAAAGTGTTCACCTGCTCATCCTCGTCTTCATCAAACTCCAGTTCATTTTCAAATTCTTGCTCTGATTCCGCAATGGTCGTTGGAAGATTAAAGTTAACCCGCTTTGTGGATGATCCTCTGGTACCTATAGAAGTTGTTGTCGTGGATGTGGTGTGCGCTGTGGTGGGCTTTGCTGTAACTGTAGCTGCTTTGGCGGCAATAAAACGTGTGGGCGTTGTTAGCGTTTTTGGCGTAGCTAAGTAAGAGCTGTTTTGGCTGTTAGACTTTCTACAACTTAGTAATTGCTTAGAATGAGCAGCTACGGTTGCTACTGTTGCTGTTGATGTAGATGTTGCTGCTACTGATGCTGCTGTTTTGTTGCTGATGCGATTGTTGCTGCTGTTGCTGGTAGCTTGATGTCGTTTATTTGTGTTGGAAAAGCTACTTACATCATTCAAATTGAATGCCTTTGTCGATGTCGTCGTTCCTGCTGCTGTTGCTACTCCTCCTGTTGTTGCCACTGCAGCTTTTGTTGGTGTTATCTGGGCAATTGCTGCTGCTGCCGCTGCTATTGTTGCTGTTCTCGTTGCGTCTTGTCTTTTTCGCAATGAATTGCTGCTGCTGCTCTTTTCCTGCTTCAAGGCATTCGATTTGAAACGATTGTTGCTGTTGGCGGCACCATTGCTGCGATTATGTAGCTCCTGTTGTTGCTGTTTGGCCTGTTGGAACTTTTGCTGCTGTGCCTGCTGCAATATGCGGTGCTCCTCATCATCCTCATCATCCTTTAGGGCAGCAGCTTGATTCTCATTTGGCTGCATTCCATTTAGGATAGAGGCATGTTTTAATTTTTTCGATGTTGTGTGTGTGCAATGTGATTAGAAACTTGTTAGCATTTTGGCGAGTCCTACTTTCTATGGCTATAACACACAAGTTTAAGACAGGTCAAAACTTAAAGCATAAACAGAATTACAGAAAATACAAAACTAAATCATAAAGGGGACTCTGCACTCTTTACAAACATTGATCAACTTAAAATAAACTAAAAAGTTTAACAAAAGCAACAAAAATACCCTCTGTATACCAATAAGGAAAAACATTTATAAAAATAATAATAAAATCTCGACAGATTTGAGAAATCTGTCTTTAAATCTTATAGTAAACTTAGAAAACAAAACTCTTATAAGATAATCTCGATATATACAATCCTAAATTACTAGTTTGAATGATTACAAATCATTTCCATCGAATGGGAATACAGAGGGTTTTGGAAACTTCTGAAGGCTGCTGAACCTACCTCATCGCCATAAGGCGGCTGCTGTGTGCCCGACCAATAGTCGTAACCATAACCAGGAGGAACACTAGCTGGATCTGTTGCTTGTCCCGACTGATAAGCCTCAGTTGCAGGCTCTATTTGGCCATAACTGGGTGTCAGTTGCTGAGGTTGTTGATCGTATTGATGGAGCGCCGCATTTGGATCATATTGTTGCTGACTGGCATTGGGATCGTATTGATGCTGGCCGGCATTGGGATCATAGTAAGATTGTTGCCCCTGTCCATAGGGATCCGTTTCAGCTGGCACTTGAGGTGGTGGCTCATAGTATTGTTGTGGTGGCTGTTGGTGCGTTTCTGGCACAACTTGCTGCTGAAGCGGCGGCTGCTGTTGATCCACCGGAGGCAATTGCTGCTGTAGCGTGGTCTCCAGATTGCCACCATCGTATTGCATGTTTAGCTCTCTAAATTGCTTATTGACCTCGGCAAACTGTTGATTGATGTCGTTTTGTTCCTGCTGGAATTGATTTTCCTGCTGCAGATGTTGCAATTGCTCCTGCTGTGGCTGCTGCAAGGAATGATTATCGGATTAGTTACTTTACAAGGCTGGTTGTGTAATGTCCAACTCACCACGTCGGCTAGAGATCGCAATTGACGCAGCCAGGCTTTTTCCTCAGGAGCAGCACTATCCTTGTTGGTAGCATTAGGAGGGCTCGCAAAGGAGACACGATTGATAAGAATGGGATCATGATAGCGCAGGCGTTCGGCCAAACCGCAGACCTAAAAACATAAAATGAAACTTTAAATGAAACAATCATAGGATTGTAAAGAAAAAAATAGCTTTACCCGCTGAATAAAATCGCTGTCGTAGCTCTCTGGCTTCAGTTCAATATGCCTAGCGATTTGCTCCAAGTAGTTGGTACAGCGGAAGTGCTGGCCATAATCGAGAATCCTTGTGGCCAGCAGGAACTTGTAGTGCTGGAAATGGGCAATGCTGAACTTAGGATCGAACAGCGACCGAGCATACTCGTAGATCTCTGTCATGATGATGGCCTCGTTGCTGGCAAACTCATTGAAATGCTTATAGTGCGAGGATCCAAGTAGGATAAGTCTGGAAACAAAAATAAAAGTAAGTTAAGGATTAAACAAATGCTACAAAAACCAAAACTCACCTGGGCACATTGGCGGTCAAGGCAGTTAGCTCTGTGGCAGAGCTATCGTATCTTCCGAACTCCTCTTGGGCAACCAAATAACAAAAGTGTGCCGCATAGATATCGCCGCGTTGGAAAAGCGTATCGCCAAGGGCCACTACCGAACTGCGGTCATACTCTGGCTGGCGACTCTTGTTCGTCACCAGAATAGAGAGATGCGACCGCCAGTCGCCCCACTGTTCATCCTTTAGCTGGCTTACGCACGCCGGCGTGTGACAGCTTTTCATTTGATAGAGCGTCTGCAGTGGATCGTTGGCCTTGATCGCGCGATTAAGGAACTTCTGTGCCACATCTGTGAGAGCATAGCGATCCTCGTATAGCGCCAAGAAAAAGGCATGTGTCCAAAGGCCATTATCGGTGGCCCACTGAAGGGCTTCTTCGACATTTCCACGCAGAACATAACTGCGGAACTTATCCGTAGCCGCCTGTTCCGACAGAGGAGTCTGTCCACCAGCTGTCGGCACAGTTCCTGCATCTGCTCCATTGGATGAGCTAGGTGCTGCACCCACAGCTGGTGTCTCCTCTGGCGTAGCAACTGCTGCAGATTCACTATCCAAATCAGAATCTCCTGCCTTCTCCGCAGGAACAGCGGCATTCTGCTCAGCCTCTACATCTGGCTCGTTCTCCGCTTCGTATTCGGTAGGATCATAGGGATACTCCTGCTGGTTCTCCAGCAATAGATCGCCCACATCCGTGTCAGCAATGTACTGAAATGGTTAAATGGAATGATAAGATGAATGTTTATCTTGGCTAATCTGGAGTCTTACCCCATTTTGACGCAACAACAGTATAAGCAGGTGCCACATCAGCGCATGAGAGGCACGATATTTGACCACGCTGCCCTGTGGCTTTTTCTGCGTGGCATACAGCACGGTGCAACCCTTTGTGGGTCCCAGTCGAATCTGCTCCTTGCAGAAACTAATGATCTTGTCCTTGTGCAACTTGCGACCCTGCAACGGACCCGGATACATCCGCAGCAGACTGCTCGTACCGTCACGGATACGTGGTGGTGCCACCTCAACATCGTTGCGCAGACGTCCGCGTCCGGCGTACTTGGGTTTAACCTTTAGCAGCAAACTCATCGCATACGAGGCCACCAAATGTGGCCGATTAAACTGCAGGGGAGTGCGTCTACGAGGCGGGCGAGCCACCGCAGTGGTGGTCACCGTTCCAGCGGTTCCACCAACCACTCCTCCATAAGTCGAAGGTACCAAATCGGCAGCAGCTCTACAGTGGGTCACAAAAGTAAGCGAATTAGTACAATAGTTATAGAAATGTTTCAAAAGAAAATATATAAAAGAAAGAAAAAGAATCATGCAAAATTCGAAAAGGGGTTTGGGGATTTTCGGGGAAATCAGAGAGATCGGGTTTGGGGGGAAAAGGTACAAGGGGGTATATAGTCGAATGCAAGAATAAGAACCCATCAACGAAGTAGATCTTAACAGTTTCCAAACCATGCCAAGAAAGTTTTCAAAAGAACCCTTTAAAATCCAAGCATGTTTACCATAAAAATATAGAATATCTAAAAAATTATATCATCCTAAATATCCTATTTATATTAAACTTTATACTTTATCCTATTTCATTTTAGGATAAAACCTACATATTACAAATCCGATGATTGATTACTTTCGAAAAAGGTAAAGCAACGTTTTCTAAGGTTTTAAACTGTTTTTCAATCTGTGATTAAATTCAAGAAACTGACCTAATTGGGATCAATATAAAATTTAGTAAATACTGATATAGGAAGATCTGCTTCAAAAAGAAGTATTAAGAATTAACCTTTATGTTTATAAAGGTAAATTAAACCATATTCGTAACCCTATATACTTTGATAAAAATTTAAATAGATCTACAAAACCAAATTTCCAGTTATCCAAAAATATTAGTCAGAGACAGATATAAACATATCATCTGTTCTAGACAGGTAAAAAAAAAGCGAAGAAACGATTTTCCAAAGCAGCAGCAAAAGAGTGAGTGCGACAGAGAGGAGAGATAGATGGGTGAAAAGGACAGGTGTTTTGGTTCTTTTTGTTTTTGCCTAGATGATAGCGCAAAGCTTCACTGGAGTGAAAGAGTAAGCACGACAGAAAGCGAAGGAGTGGGATTTAGTTTTTGTAGGACATCTTTTTTAAACTCTTTTTTTTAAAACATTTTTATATATACCCTTGCAGAATATACTTTAACACTATCCCTAGTTATAGGAATATATTATAGAATAGATCTTTGAACGTGTTTTATATTATTTTTAGAAAAAGTTAAAGAGAAATTAATATGATATACCAATATAAATGGTCTGTTTGAAATCGGAACTGATCTATATGACATGATCGTAACTTTCGTTATAACTGCAAGGGTATACTACAAGATCCTTTCTCGTTTTGGTTGTTTTTTTTTTTTGCTTTTTTGACCACCTGATATCGAGACCGCATTCGGAACCAGCGTAATACGGTCCGCATCGGGAATCGCGTCCATCGCCGTTCAAATTGCTTAGCGAGCGGGCACTGGCCAGCGGATATGATGGTTGGTATGGATTATAGATGGACCCTCCGCGCGATCCATAAAAACTGGCATTATCCTCGGTAATGGCAAAACTGGAGTTCAATTGATCCTCCCTGTGATGTTGTTGTTGCTGTTGTTGCTGGTAGATCAGCTCTTTGTATTGATGACGATGGAATTCATTGGCTTGGGTTATGTATGCGTGTGTATACCTGTATTGTATATATATATATATATATGTATATATGTAAAGGTGGGAAGTTGGGCAGAAAGCACAATTGTTGTTGTTGTTGTTTCGGTTGTTCGTGTGCATTTTGTTGTTGTTGTTGTGGTTGTTGGTTAGAGACGAAAACAGTTTTTGCGGTTATTTACGAATTTGAATTAGTTTTTTGTTTGCTGTGTTTTTTTTTTTTGTTTTAATTAGTAAAACACAACGAATGACACACACTCAGACACACTTAGGGGGAAACAAATTGGATGTGGATCATGATATATGGCGGGATGGTGGAATTCCAATTGGAAAATGTAATATATGTAATATTTGAGTTACAACGCCAGAAAAAGAGAAAGCTGCAGTAGAGCGAGCAAGCGAGAGACCTCGATTCTAATCACTAACTACGAAAAAAAAGTGAGCAAGATTTAGTTAAGTTGATAAGATTAAAAGCCCAAGTCCAACCTCAACATTTAAGGGGCGGCGGGGTCAAGGAAAGGGATGGAGGCAGGGTGGGGACAGACCCATAATTATATTAAACAAACTATGTTATTCATTAGTTTTCGTTTTTCATTTTCGGTTAGCAAACGGCAAACTAAGATAAAGAAAGAAGAGAAAACCAACGGCTACTTTAAGATCAGGTTTTAGGGCTCGGATTAAGGGTTAGGATATCATTAAAGGTAAACAAGGTGTTAAACGAAACTAAAGGAACATTGGCAAAATAACGATATTTCGGATCAATCGAAATTGAAGATCCCAAAACTTGCAGAGATTATATAAAGTTTTTACTTCTTTCTTTCTTCTATTAAATATAAAATATTTCATTTGATAACACTACTTAAAGTAAGATAGTGTTCTTGTTGAATAATCACTTGCTATCTAAATGTTTTAATCTTTCAAATTTATGAATCATTAAAAAGAGATTTCAACCTGTCCAGCTTGAAGACGAGTTTTAAAAAAAAGAACAAATCGAGAATAATATAGATTAGCTTTTACATCCTAAAAGATTTGTACCAAGAAGACCCCCTCTAAAATCTCTGCAAGTTTCTGGTAATAATACTAACTCAAAGACCAAGCAAACTTTCATATAAAAAAGAAAAAAAAAACAACAAGGCATAGTAGTTGGATCTAACTAACCTTTCACGCTCCCTAAGCAGGGCGGCCTCACTGCTTCCGCTGACACTTCCTCCGCTCGCGGCGGCTGCTGCCATCAACTGGCCTGCATTCACCGGTACCGCTCCTGGCACCAAACCGGGTATCACTGCTGCACCCGGAACTCCAGACTTAGAAGCTGCTGCCGAAACTGCGGCCGTCATTGAGTTAATCATTTGGCCATAGAACTTGGCATACACTTCGGCATAAGCTTGTGGATTCCTTGACATTTGCTCGTACATACCGTACGGATCATAAGCATTAGCTGACACAGCATATTGATCGTAGGTGCGACGCTTGCCAGAACCACCGGCTCCGCCACCACCGCTGGTATTACCGCCATTGTGTCGCTCTTTATCGAGATCACTGTTGCGTGAGCTCTTCTTGCGGTACTCCTCGTAGCCACCATCCCAGTTCCTCAGATCCTTGTGACGACTGCGACCATCCTCCGTACGGGCACTACGTCCCTGATTCTCGTACTTCCGTCGTCCGCCAGAGGAACGTGAATGGCCCACCGACGCTGGCTGTTTGCGCATGGGATACTGACGATCATAGTCATCAAAGTCCTCTTCGGCGGCACTGCGTCGCTGGCGACTAGTTTTACTGCTCCGTCCACCGCTACCGCCAACTCCACCTGTGCCTGCACCAATGCTACCATCAAGATCACCTTCGATCAAATGATTGATCTCCGGATTATCTGATTCACCATCGTAGTTGCTGTTATTGTACCGACGCGAGTGTTCAAAAGAACGATCAGGATCCTCGCCACCACTGTGATACTTATTCGATCTTCCTCGATAGTTACGATCACGCCCCCTATCCCGTTCCCTTTCACGCTCCACCTTCAAATCCGGATTACGTCGAGAGCGCGTGCTTTCTGGATTGCGTCTTGAATGCGTTTCCCTTATGGATTTGGTTTCATGGTGGGTTGAACCGCGCACCGAATCTTCTGTTTCACCATCGTAGGTATAGTGACCTTGGCTGCGTGCACGTCCGTCTCTACGATCACGCTCGCGCTCACGCTCACGTTCCCGATCTCGTTCCCTTTCGCTCTGCAGAAACTCATCCGACTCGTCCTCGGACTCCAGATCCAGAGAGGATTTATTGGTCCGACGTGCAACAGCTGCACGTTTCTTTTCCTGCTGTTGCTGGTGCTGCTGCTGCAACAGTGGCTGTTGCTGTTGATGAGCTTGCTGTGAATTCAACGGAGGCATCGCCTGTGGCGGATTGTTGTGATGCAGCTGCTCCGGCTCATCGGGCAGAATATTGTGATGTACTGATGTTGGCGGTAGTTCAGCAAGAGCTGGTGGCGGTATAGCTTCACGATCCTCAAGATTTTCACCATCTAGCACCACTTCCCGCTGTTCTCTCAAGGATGGGGCGTTGGTCTCTACGCCCGTTACTACTCGACGAGGAGGCGTCTGAATATTACGCACTTGCTGCTCACCATCGGAGGTGTCTTCGCCATCTGCTTGTCGTTCCTGCATGTGCAAAGCAGCCGCCTGGGCCACATTGATCGGTGGCTGTTCAGTGGCACCAGTGACCAGACGTTGCTGCTGAGAATCCAACTCCGGTTGACCCAAAACCAAACGGGACAGGCCTGGTGGCGGCAGTAAACCAGCGTCCTGATCCGCTTCACCTTCACCTAGCTGCTCGGACAGATGACTCGTCTGCAAGTACTGAGCCCTTTCGTCATTCGGTGCGGATAACACCTCCTGGTTGTCCGGTTCCACTTGCTGGACAGCCTGCAAAAGGGTTGGTGGTGGTGCATAGAGCGATGCGGCTGGTGCAGAAATAGGTGCCGGAATGGGAGCACTAAGTGGAGCTCCAATTGAAGCCTCAACAGGTGGTGCTGCCAGTAAATTGAAACCATCTCCATGAGGTTCTGCTGGCAAGCCAAAAAGCTGTTCTGCTGGTGGTGGAATTGGTGCTGCTGGTGCCAAAGGAGCCACCGTAGCTGGTGCTGGTGGCGATGGAGCTCCTCCCGCAGGATTGGCCATTATGTTAACTCGTTTGTTGAGACCCGTGGAGCGTTTAAAGGGATTGCCAGCCGCTGGAGTCACGCTTGGTGGCAGTGCAGCCGGTGGTGCAATGGTTGCAGTATCTACGGATGGTGCAACGATAGGAATTAAGGGTGCTGGTGGGGCTCCAACTCCGCCGAGAGGTGCTGAAGAAGAAGCTCCTAACCCTGCAAGATGAGCTGGAGGAGCACCAACAGCAAATAATGGTGATCCTCCCACAGCAGATAGTGGTGGTGGAGCGAATGAAGGTGGTGGTGCTGCAGCTGCTGGCTGATTTTGGAAAGCCTGAGGTGGTACAATGGCATCCAGTTCGGGTTCCTGTCCAAGTTCCGGAGGAGATTGCAGCTGGTGCTGCTGCTGATGATGTAATAAAGGAGCCGATTGCTGGTGCAAGGATGGTGCTTGTTGATCCCCTGAAGGTGGTAGTTCCACATTATTATTGACATTATTGCCAATGGTATTAGTGGCAAAGGCTTGCCAACTGCCTGGCGAGGATTGAACATTAAAGGAATCCTCTAGCAATTGTCCTGATGGCTCCAATAAGGCCTCGTTGCTGTTGCTAATATTGCTAACGCTAATATTATTGTTGTTGCTGTTATCGTTCCAATCTCCCCAGTCACCCCAGCCATCGCTCCGGCCACTAACTCCTCCAATACTATTATTGTTGTCAAACGAGTCCAGAGCGGGTTCCGGTGGAGCCGGGACTTGTGGCTGCTGGTGAGTGGGATAATACAATTGCTGCTGCATTGTATGCTGCTGCTGCGTGGGCTGCTGTTGCTGCTGCTGCTGCGGTGGCAGTTGCTGTTGCTGCTGCTGCTGCGGTGGCAGTTGCTGTTGCTGCTGATGCTGCGGTGGCAGTTGCTGCTGCTGCATAGGATGTTGCTGCTGTTGTCCAGCATAGTAGTTATTGTAGTTCAGCGATTGCTGTTGCTGATCCTCTGGCCAATAATTTGGCTGCTGTTGCTGAAACATTTGGCTGGCATAGAGCTGTTGCTGCTGCTGCTGGGCAGGATGAAGTTGCTGCTGTTGGGGCGTTGCATGTTGCTGCTGGGGAGTAGGATGTTGCTGCGGTGCCTGTTGCTGCTGCTGCTGCTGTTGATGCGGTGGCAGCCAGGGCGCATTATTGTGCAACATGTTGAATCTTTAAAAAGAGAAACAAAAAACATATTCAAATTAATTTAAAATGAAAAACAACATTATTTAACGGAAATCCATTAACCTACTAGTTCTAAAAACAAACGTAGATATTAATCAACCTTTAATCAAACAATTGTTATAAAAGTTTAAAGTTTTTTATAACAATTGTTTTTGTTTTCCATAAGAAAAATATGAACGATATTTTTGCTTAAGATGACGCAAACTGGAAAGATTTCTGATGAGCACTTCCAATGAAAGGAGATTACTTAGCAAATAATTGTAATTTCACAAGTTTACAACTGTATTTCAATACTACAGTGTACAAAAAACTCCTATAATTCTTGAGAAAAACTTTATATTTAGTTCCCGTGAGATATCTGAAAGGTTTGTAGATGTTATAAGGACTTTTCCGGGAGGTTTTGCAGGTGGTGGTTGCTACATTTTGTGGAGCAATTCAATGAACGAAACCAGTTTTTCCCGATGGAAAATTACCTGTTTTCCCAGATTTTTCAACAATTCCAATTGGAAATTATGAAAAGTGATGGATAATACACAAGCGAATATTGAACAATATCGAATAAAGTGTATATTATAGGGGCCACAATGAGGGGAAAAGCAAAAGTTAAAAGTTTACGTGGACGTTTGCCATATATTGCCCCTTCTCCCTCCCACACTCTTCTGCTCTTCCTCTTCTTTTTCTGCTTGTTCGTTTTGTTACCACCGTTTCGCTCTCTTATTGTTGTTGTTGTTTTTGTTCTCTAGACGAAGCAGGTTTTTTTTTTAATTTTGTCTAAGCCGATGATAATTTTTATACTTAATTTAAATCAACTGACCCTAATGTATATTGTATAATTTGTATTATTTATTTATTTCCTTTATTTTCTGCAAGTCAAAAGTGAAAACACTCTCTTGGGGGAAAAATTGGAGCAGTGGTCGAGGGAGAGAAATCTCTCTCTCGGCAGAAAAGAACCATACGCAGGGTTGCAATCCGGTGTTCCCGTGCAAATTTTAAACACAATTATTTTTACTGGCCATAATAAAAGAAAACAACACTTGGCAGTTGTCTTTGTCAATTTCTTTTTCCTATAAAAATATAACACAGCCAAAAATTACGAGAGTAAACAGACCCACACATAGAAGGTAGCAGGCTCTCACACACACACACATGCTAAGAGAGAGGGTACAAGTGTCGATGTCCCTTTCCTTTTTTCTCTTCTAATTAGCTTACGCTGCACACGAACTTACACAAATCGCTTGTTTATTTACACGCACTTGGTACTGTTCTCTGCCAGTTGACTAAAAAATACATTTACTTGTTTGCTGATTGCTTAAGCAGTCGTTTTTGGTTTTTAAACAATTTACTATGGAATTTTCTTTCGATCCGAACGCAGCAAAATCTCCCAAATGCCAACTCGACTTTTATGGCGCTGCCAGACTGGCGATACGGGCTGCCAAGGGTGGCCAGACTTGTAGCGATAAGGGATGGAGTTATAACGATTACATTTAAGTAAAAATTAATTTCATTTAACATTTTTAATGTGCAATAATTAAAAATTTGTTTGACATTTTTAACGATGTTTTGCAGAACTTTGGAGCCTACAGTATGCAGGGACAAAAACATTTAAAACCTTTGATATATAATGTAAGTAAGTATTTTTAGCTGATTTATAATGATATTAATAAAAAAAATTTGAAAACTATTAAAAATTCTCAAAAATTGTTATTCTTCAAATATTCAAAACAAATTGTTATTCTTCAAATATTTAAAACAAATTTTAAATTCACAACATATCGATATATTGATGGTTTTAATGATGCCTATCGCTGGCGACATGTGTGAGCGCCTATCGCCAGCTGATGCCTTAACGCTTGCGTATTTTGTTGATATTTGCAAGCCACGCGAGACGAGAAGAGATGCTGCGCCTACTCGTGTCCAATTGCGGCAGGAGCAGCGATTTGTGCAGGTAAGTTTCATCATTGAGTGTCAGCGATCGGAAAGGCCTATCCCCAACAGCCCAGAAGCTAGACAGGAATACACAACCCCCTCGCCCTCACTCCGGTTATGTCATCAATACCAATCACTGCCTATTATTAACCGCCCTTTTTGTTATCCGACAGTCGCCACCTGCTGCAGCCCTCACAGCAGCCACTGCCACGCCTCCAGAATGCCGCCCGCCTAATGCGACAACATCTACGCGGGACGAACGTTAAAGGAGCACCACAACCCCCTATGCCTACACCCCCGCCTACAAACGCTAGCCGTCTGCTGCACACTACACGCCTCCTCTTGTGGGGCGGCGGAAGTCTCTCCATCGGTCTAGGCGCCCGATCCTGGTGGGCGGGGCATCGAGGCCCTATAGTCCACTGCGAGGGTAGTCGGCTAGCCATTCGGAAGGAAGAGGAGGAACCTGCGGAGAGTATACCGTTCGATTGGCAACGATTATGGGCGTACCTGGAGCCACATATCTGGGAGCTCATCGGAGCAGTTTGCGTGAGTGTTCGGTGCATCCAGAATTCTGTGATCCCACTAGGATAGTTTCCAGCACAAAAGCAACAAGTTTAAAATTGGTTTATGCAAAGGGATCTGGAAACAGAGGAAAGCAACAACTAGAGAATTTAGACAGAAACATACTACTAGATCAGCTACTAATGTTTAAACACATTTCAAGGATAGGCAATTGAGAGGATTTTAAACATATATAATACGTAGTGAGTTTAAGATAATATTTGGCTAATCTATTCTTACAGGCCGCCCTGATAGTGGCGTACATCAACATCCGCATCCCAAACCTGCTCGGCGAGCTGGTCAACACACTGGCGAGATATGCCAATACGTATGTGAGGGACAACACGTTCATGAAGGACGTTAGTAAACCGGCCAGCAATTTGCTAAGCCTATATATGCTTCAATCGGGATTCACCTTCATGTACATCTACCTGTTGAGCCGCGTCGGTGAACAGATAGCGGCCAAAATGCGGCAGGATCTCTTCACTCAGATAGTTGTCCAGGACATTGCCTTCTTCGATGAAAATCGGACGGGTGAGTTGGTCAATCGACTCACCGCCGATGTGCAGGACTTCAAGACTTCGTTTAAGCAGTTCGTGTCCCAGGGATTACGAAGTGGTGCTCAACTAATTGGTGGAAGTATATCGCTCTTTATGATTTCGCCGCACATGGCTGCCATTGCTCTAGCCAGTGTCCCGTGTGTGGTGATGTTTATGACGTATTTGGGCAAAAAACTGCGCTCGTTAAGCAAAAGTTCACAGGCGCAGTCAGAACGAGCGACGGGCGTTTGCGAGGAGGCGCTTTCCAACATCCGAACAGTGAGATCCAGTGCTTGTGAATATCGCGAAATGCAACTGTTCGAGGCGGAGACCAATGAGGCGGCACGTCTGGCGCAGGAACTCGGCTACGGCATCGCCATCTTCCAGGGTCTGACCAATTTCTTCCTCAACACACTAGTCTTATCCACGCTCTTCATGGGCGGCCACCTAATGTCCACAGATAGCCTGTCGCCGGGTGCATTGATGGCTTTCCTGGTTGCCTCGCAGGGTGTGCAACGATCCCTAGCCCAGGGATCCATTCTGCTGGGCACCATGATCCGTGGCATGACGGCTGGCAGTAGGGTCTTCGAGTTCCTTTCGCTTCAGCCACAGGTGGAGCTGCTACGCGGCTATATCATCCCGCAGGAGCGTCTGCATGGCGAGATTCGGTTCGAGAACGTCTCCTTCGCATATCCCATGCGACCTGATCATGTGAGTTTAATATAGTTTCCCTTAAAAAATCAATATAGTGTTAATTACTAGAGTAGCCTTATTTTTTATATAATATTTACTAACATCTTATCGCTTCCGCAAAAAGATAAACAATTTTATAACAGCCACAAATAGCTTAAATTTACGGCTAAGTGATAAAAAGATTACCACCGAAGTAATACAAAAAGTAATTTACTTTCCTGTGTAAAAACTGATATGGAAATATAAGGGATATAGATTAAATATCGCCAATTGGTAGTTGGGAAACTAACTTTTTTAAAAAGACATTCTAAAACGAAATAGTACATATTTAGTAATTAATACATGTTGAGTACTTTCCATATTTTCCCCTACTGACACTCGATTTCCTCCTTTTCTCCAGGTGGTGCTTAAAGACTTTAGCCTGACGCTCCGCCCGGGCCAGACGGTGGCCCTAGTGGGAGCCAGTGGATCCGGTAAGTCAACGATAGCGTCCCTGGTGGAACGCTTCTACGAACCATCGGCGGGCAATATCAAACTGGATGGGTACAAGCTATCGGACATCTCTCCATATTGGCTCCGGGCCAATGTCCTCGGTTTCATTGAACAGCAGCCTGTGCTGTTTGGCACCTCAATATTGGAGAATATCCGATATGGTAAGCCAGATGCAGGCGAAGAAGATGTGTTCGCGGCTTCGCGACTATCACAATCGCATGACTTTGTTACTGCCCTGCCCGATGGATATGCGACGCATGTGGGCGAAAGAGGTACCCAGTTGAGCGGTGGTCAACGACAACGCATTGCCATCGCCCGAGCGTTGCTAAAGAATCCCCGCATCCTCATCCTGGACGAAGCGACGAGTGCTTTGGACGCCACCAGTGAGGCAGAGGTGCAGAAGGCACTCGACACAGCGGTCAAGAATCGCACCACCCTGGTGATTGCTCATCGGTTGTCCACGATACGAAATGCTGACCTTATCGTTGTACTTGACCAGGGACGCGTCGTAGAGGTGAGTTGTCCTTTGACTGATTAATAGATCTCGGATAATATGCAGATTAATTTAATGTCATTATTTTATTTACCCTAGACCGGCAAACATGACGAATTGATGGCCAAGCGGGGCCTGTACTTCGATCTGGTGCGTCAACAGGAGCGACGTGATATCCAGGAGCAAGTTCAGGCTGTGGAGGAGGTTGTGGCTGCCAAGGTGCAACAGGCAACAGTAACAGCACCAGCGGCAGCGGCAACGGGAGTGAGTAGTAATTCCAGCGGCAGGACGAATACCGCCCAAGGATAAAAACAGTCGTAGGCAAATTGATGATTCCCTGTACACTTAATTTATTAGAATGTTTTGTTTTCACTTTTTTAATTTTCAACTGACCAAAAACAAAAAAAACGGTGAGAGACGTTAACGTTAAGTAAATAAAATAAACGCTGAAGACAGTATTGTTTTTGTTATAAAACGAAAGTATTTCATTGCCATCTTCAAAATATTCACCGGGTGTTCATTAAAAGTAAGTGGAATAATTAAATATATTTAATAAAATGAAACTTCCAATTGTGGTAAATTTAAATTCAAATATAACGATTTTGTCCGCTACATTTTTGGAATATCTTTTAAAGAGACCGCATTGCAAATGACTTAGAGATCTAGATTTTGTGCTTTACAAACGGTCGCATTGGAAATCATCAAATTAGTTTCTTAATATTCGCTTAATTAGTGTTTATGGCAAGTAATAAAAAATTAAACATTTTAAATAAACAATAAAAAAAATACTTATCGAATTGGCGGTCTCTAAACGATAGTATAGGAATTCCTTAATGATAGGCCTACGGTCACTTTGGCTGGATTGTATTTTATTTTGTGTGGTTTTGTTGTTGTTTTGTTTATTATGCATTTCTTTTTTATTGTTTGACTTAGTGAGTTGTGCGTCGGCATTTCGGCAATTGTGGTTAAAAATTACATGGCGGGAATTAGAATTAAATAAACGAAGTTAACAAATACCCAACAAATGTGCAATGTGCGTCAAGTCAATAGCTATACAAACGAACAATTATGTAAGTGTGTGCGTGTGTGTTTGGTTTAGTTTAGCGTGTAACAACAATAAAATGTTAGTAAAACCAGTTGTTGTTGCTGTGTTAGATCTGTTAATGTCGTTGTTGTTCCCGTTCCCCCACACACATTTTCTAACATCGTGTGTGTGTGCAGCACCTGTACGCGTGTGTGTGTAGTGCTTCTGTCCGCGCACAGTGGGCACATTTAAAATTGTCCTACTCAGAAACAAACAAATTCTCCGTGAATTAATTGACTTAATTAACATAAATTGGACAGCAAAGTTATGATAGTCATAGTTGATTAAACGGAATTACTTTTTAGTGGAATTATAACATATGATTTACAAATTAAGTTCCAGCATTGATGGCCAAAAAAGTTAAAGTAAAAAGTACCAAAAACAGTAGAGTTACTTCGAGAATTTAAAGGTGTAATATTAAAGAAGTTTTTATGGTATCCACTGTGCTCCTATGCAAGTGTGCGCTTTGATGGCGCATTCGTCATTCATTGCCCAAGTAAACGCGGGCGGGAGCGGGATGGCAAGTACAACAACTACAGTTAGCTCAGCTGAAGTGCAATTGCGATTGCAGTTGCTCCAAAGACCCATGATTGTTGTTGCATCAACTCTGTTTTCACGGTCAATGTTGAGATATATATATACATCTATAAATATGTACATACTTCATGAATGTATGCAAATCGTTGATCAAAATCAGGCGGTTAAGCGAATTCCATTGATGAGCTAGCTGACTCAGGATCAAAGTCTTTATCGCGTGTGATCCATTTCTTCAACTGAACCTTTTACTAATGGCTACCGACTCATTTGTTTTTTGTTTATCTGTCATTCCATTATTACTGACTATACGCAAAAATATTTCGAATAGCTATCGCTTTAACAAAGAACATTTAATTTGCTCTTCAAAAAATATGTTATTCATTTTTTTAGATTTTTGTAATATTTTTTGGCCGTTTACAGCCATCAGTGCTAAGCTATAGACACTTGGGAATCGTAGGCGGTCTTATTTAACACACAATCAAATATACATCCAGATTCTGGAAGTATAAAAGCCCCTTGGATAGTACGATCTTATCCTATACTATCAAACTATCAAAGTTCCTATAGAATAATTTTATTAAATAATGAAAAATTTGGATTAGATAGATATACAATGTATATTCCTTTTATAAGATTCCTATCTTATCTGGAATAAATATACCTATATAATGATCGTACCTTTCAAAGCCTATTTACACAGTTCTCATATTTGATTATAGAATCACAAGAAAAAGGTTGCCTTTCAAGTTAAGGAGGAAGGAAGTTAACAATTCAAATTGAAGTCAAAGGAAAACTTTGAATTGGACTTCTTCTATACGAACAATAATGATTGATTGTTATTTAAAAGCATTAGATTATTGAAAGACCTACATTTTCTATTTGTAATTCAGTTAGTTTTTGCTCAAGGCAGTTACCTTGCTTTTGATTATTGGTCATTTTCCGTGACTGTTTGGTCTATATTTACTATATTTAATACCTATTCCGTCATTCGCTAATATCGTTTACCAACCCCCCTTTACTTTCATACTTGTAGTGCTAACGTAATCGGGCCAAGGCATACAAACAAAAACATTCCATGCATCATCAGCAGCGCCTTCGGGCAAATGGAGAACGCGGAGGTAAAGGATCAGGAACAGGATCGGCAGCACATCCTCCATTATGTGCCCATTGCCGAGGTCAACTGTTTCCGCATCCGGAGGAGCCCATTGTCATGGCTTTGGGTCAACAATGGCATTGCGATTGCTTTCGCTGTTCCGTTTGCGAGGGTCATTTGCACAACTGGTATTTCGAACGGGAGGGATTACTGTACTGCCGGGAGGATTATTATGGACGATTCGGTGATGCCTGTCAGCAGTGTACGGCCGTTATTACCGGACCCGTTATGGTGGCCGGCGAGCACAAATTTCATCCGGAATGCTTTTGCTGCACAGCATGTGGTTCGTTTATCGGCGAGGGTGAATCTTACGCTTTGGTCGAGCGATCAAAGCTCTATTGTGGTCAATGCTATGGCAAACGATCCTGCCAGCCTGCGGATGCCAAGGCGCGGATCACTACGGCCGGCAAGCCAATGCACTCCATTCGACTGGTCGAGATACCCAAGGATGCCACTCCTGGTCTGCGAGTAGATGGTGTGGCCCTGGATGATGGTTGCCCTACAGTTCGGATTACAGAGTAAGGATGGGTTTTTATTTACATTATTATTTTTAGGCAAATGCATTGTAGATTTTAGCTTAAAACTCTTTAAAAATGTTTAAAATTTTTAATTTTTTGGGAAAGGAATAGTGCTAATGCTTACATTTTTAATAGTTTACATGCTCTATGAGTCAAAGTATTTATCAGTACTTCTTACTAACCTCATTGTCATTTCTTTAAATATAATAAAAAAACATAAAGCTTAGTAGCTCTTCATTTAATTTATAATTAATTAAAACAATACTAATATAAACACAATTTAACTAGAAAGAAATCTTTCATGTGCAGTGCTTGCAAAACAAGTTATTGATTTATTATTTGTTACTCACTTTCAGTTGGTAGTTAAGTAACTTCAAGTAGCTTTAGGAAACCTCATCCCATAATCTCCAACTAATTTTCGCATTCCCCTAATACACATGCTAACCCAAAATATGTACGAAAATTGGAACAGCTTGTTCTGTAACTTCTTCTTTTGGCTAACTTCGATGGCGGAACAGTGCTGTGGGGCGCCCTATAGGTAACACATGCCTTAAGTAAAAAAAATAAAACCAACTAACTAAATAGGAAGCCTTTTCAAAAACACTCTGATCTCTGACATATTTCATTTGTCTCCTCAGAATTGATGTGAATCTTACGAACTTACACATTGGCGATCGCATTCTAGAGGTGAATGGTACTCCTGTTAGTGATTCCTCCGTGGAACAAATCGACAAACTTATCCGGAGTAATGAAAAGATGCTTCAACTGACCGTGGAGCATGATCCGGTGCAAGTGTGCCGCTCCTGCAGCCAAGCGGATATCCAAAGGGCCATGTCAGCATCGACGTTAATCCTACCGCTTAGTACTTCAGCTTCCAGTGTAGAGGTAGGCCGAGAGCGTCTGTATAAAACACCCGGCGAACAAGGAACTAAGGCCAGGAAACTGCGACAAGCCACAAATGCCTCAACCACAATACCACCGGCAGCTGGAGCAGCCACCACAATGACTCAGCTCAAAGAGAAAGAACGCTGCTCTAGTCTGTCCAAGCTGCTCGATGAACAGCACCAGGCACAGCAGCACTCGGCACATCCTCAGCTCTACGATCTGTCCAGGACACAATCCTGTCGTGTGGTCCAAAAACCTCAGAGAATCTTTCGTGCATCTGACCTGGTTATAGGCGAAAAATTGGGTGAAGGCTTCTTTGGAAAGGTTTTCAAGGTAACTCATCGACAGAGTGGCGAGGTGATGGTCCTCAAGGAACTGCATCGTGCTGATGAGGAAGCCCAGAGGAATTTCATCAAAGAAGTGGCCGTTTTGCGTTTGCTAGATCATCGCCATGTTCTCAAGTTCATTGGAGTGCTGTACAAGGAGAAGAAATTGCATATGGTTACGGAATATGTGGCCGGTGGTTGTCTCAAGGAGCTGATCCATGATCCAACTCAGAGCCTGTCCTGGCCGCAGCGTGTCTGCCTGGCCAGGGACATTGCCTGCGGCATGAGTTACCTGCACTCGATGAATATCATCCATCGTGATCTGAATTCAATGAATTGCCTAGTGCGCGAAGATCGATCGGTTATAGTGGCGGATTTTGGTTTAGCTCGCAGTGTGGATGCACCGCGGCTGCCTGGTGGAGTGACTACCACAGATCGTGCTGGCAATATGACGCCCGGTGGCTATGGCTCAGGAGCTAACAGCGATGCGGCCATGTCACCGAGTGGAACTCTAAGGCGCAGCAAGAGCAGGCAGCGTAGGCAACGATATACGGTGGTAGGGAATCCCTACTGGATGGCACCCGAAATGATGAAGGGCCTTAAGTACGATGAGAAGGTGGATGTTTTCTCCTTTGGTATTATGCTGTGCGAGGTAAGAATATACGTTTTTTTTAGCGAATTATTATATTGATTAACCAATTTTATCTTACAGATCATTGGACGCGTCGAAGCAGATCCCGATTTCATGCCCCGCAACTCAGACTTTAGCCTCAATCAGCAGGAGTTTAGGGAGAAGTTCTGCGCCCAGTGTCCGGAAGCATTTGTCAAAGTGGCCTTCGTGTGCTGTGACCTCAATCCGGATATGCGTCCATGCTTTGAAACCCTGCACGTGTGGCTTTTGCGACTGGCCGAAGATCTGGCCGCCGAGCGTGTACCACCAGAACGCCTGCTACACGAGATCGAGACTTTCCAGGAGTGGTATGGCAGCTCTGAGGATGCCCTGTCACCTACATCCCAGCGCAGCTTAAACAATCTCAATGAGCTGGTCAAGAATGCTGTAACTGAACCGGACATTTCACCAGTTGAAAAGGAGAAGGAAAATCTGGTGATTAAGCCGCAGGATATACCCAAATCTCCACATCTCGGCAAGGATTTCTCGCCCAGCGGTGAGAGATTGCGGGACAGTATGCGGGCCAGGCGTCGTCAGCGTTTTTTGGGTGCCCAAGAGGAGCGACGTAATCTCACGCCTGAAACGGAATCCAAGGAAAGGGCTTTGAAAAAGGCGCTTAAGAAGTGTCGTCCTTTCGGAGAAAGAGGTTACTTGGTGGACCTGCGACCAGGTGCTGAACTGCAGCTACAGGATGTAAGGGACCTAAATACCTACTCCGACGTGGATTCCAGTTGCGATACAAGTTTAAATTACCAAGAGGTTAACAATCTGCCAACGGCACAGGAAGATGAAAATCCAGTTAAGTCCAGCAAAGAGGAACTGGAGGAGAGTGCAACCAGAACGGATTCCCAGCACCACCGCCTGGCCATTGATGATATGCGCACGCGACTGAATCAGTGTCGCAGCAAATTCGAGCATTTGGAGGAGGCTAGCCGGAGGAACTTTAATCAATCGCAACATTCCATGAAGAACTTCTTCAAAACCCCACCAGTGGCCCTTAAAATGTTCCAGCGTTTGGAGCACGAGGCTGCAGCACTGAATGGTGGCAACAATTGTCCACCGCCGCCACCGCGCACCCAACGTATCAATCAGACGCCCATTTTCGGCCGAAAGAATCCACCGGTTGTAATGGTGGGTCAAAAGCTACAGCATGCTGAATCCCTAGAGAACTTGGCCACCAGTGGTATAAGCAAACAGTTGGCAACTCCAGCGCCCAAAAGAAGCAAGGCCACGGCGACGACAAAAAGCCAGAGCAGTAGTAGCAGCACTGCTGCCAGCAACCCGCCACTCTTCCTGCCACCCAGCATTAGTACTAGTGTCACCTTAAACAGCAATGGAAATGTAACTACCAACAGTAGCAGTAGTAATTGTCCTTCATCCGCTCCAGACTGGCTACCCAAGAAGCACAAGCTAACGCTGCCACTTCCTCCGCATTCACAAACAGCTCCACAGCTACTGCAGCAGCGAACGAGCAACAATCACCGCCAGGCAATAAGCAATAACAAAGGAAAGCCAGTGAAGCCGCCGTCCAGTCGTACAGCATCTCAAGGAATCCCTGCCAGCAATTGCGTCTCGCCCACCAGGAACAGCAGGCCCGGATCCCCCAGCAAACATCTGGCCCAGAGGCACACCGCCGCCACGGCCCAGCGATTGACAAATGGTTTGGATTTCAAGAGTATAAGCTTGAGCTTATGCCTGACTATCTTTCTTTTATATTTTCTAGCGGCCTCAATCCACCAGCAACAGCAGCAGCAACAATCCTCCAAAACGACCCGCCTGAACATCCTTAGTCCAGAGAAGGTGCATCGCCTGGGAGCCCGCCTCAGTGATCAGAAGCAGAAAATGCGCGAAGAGGCAGCTGCATCGGCCTCAGCCGGCGGAGGAACAGGATGTACGGCATCAACAGCGCCGGGATCCCTAAATGGTCATCGGACGGGTCCCTCCGGATCAACAAATCCGACGGGTGGTGAAAGGAGAAGGCGTGCAGCACCACCGCCGCCTGTTCGCACGCATTTTAATACGCGATGCTAGCTACTAACTGCTAGCCTCTCAATATTCGATTGTCAAGTATTGTGCGCAGTTTTAGTGTTGTTCCACTCAGGGAGCTCTTGTTAGCAGCGTAATGTTCTCAATGTCTTAAATAACCTAACTGTTGTAACTACGTAACTGTTGTATTCGTAATACCCTTCGCTTTTGCATTGTACAGAATTACCTAAATACCTATATTTCTAAATTTCAGTAACATTTTCATAACTCTTAACGTCATAACGAAACATATGTAATGCCTTTTATAATGTAAATAACTTCGATGAAAACCAGTAAACTGTTCCGCTGTTGTAAACGCAACTGTTATACGCACATGACAAGATCAACATTCCAACAAAAGTGTTTATTTTTTTTTTAATACATTTTATTTTAACATTCCGTTTTTATGTTGAAACTAAACGAAAGGTTAAGTGCCTGTTAAGATTGAAAGAGAAAAAAACCAACAAGTTGCAATATTTACATAGATTGTATAAAACCAAGCGAATAATTATAGTATTTAAGATTACAGGGTAACAACTGTTCCGACTAACCTATTGAACTCAACTAAAATGCTAAGCAATTTACCATGTTTAACCCACTATTGTCTGACACAAAAGTTGTATTGAGAAAGAGATAGAGAAGTAGAGATGAAAAGAGACGGAAGAATCTTGTGCCATGAAGCTGAGCGAAGAACGAACGAATCTAATGAATCTGAAAGAATCCTTAAGAGGAGAAGCCCACCCACAAAATGAAAAAAAAGACAAAGGAACGAAAAGAACTTTAACTAGAAAAATTGTGGTTTAAATATTTTTTGATACACACCATATATAAATGTATTTATATATCTATATATATATATATATATACCTAATAATTATATAGATAAACGTATTCCATGTTAGTGCTTAAATCTAATTTATTATTTCTCGATTTTCCACCCATCTACCCCCCGTCCCCCATTCCATGAACAATAATTAACAATGCTAAGTAACGTTTTTTTTTTTTTTGTATTGTGGAGAAAAAGTCTAACTTGTATAATTATATAAGAATGTTTTTTGCTCAAAGGCAATTTTAGTTGTAAGTGACAAACACACACACACATACACCCACGCTAACTGTTATACATGACACGCACACGCTCAAGCCTAATACTGTTATACTGTTAAAACTGTGTACTTTATATAGCCATTATATACATAAACCTATATATAGGATCGAAACGCTTTGCAATTAACAGCTTCTATAAGACACTTGAGCCAGGCCACTGTTATACGAACGTATGCCATTATAACAGTGGCTCCGCTCAATCCCGATCTAGCATTTAATTATCTATATACAAAAAAATATGTGCGATATTTTTTATATGCCGTTAACGTAATGTAATGTGTTGTATTTTGACTCCACTCCAACCTATAACTACGTTTATACGCCTGCCTAATCAAAGTCTAAGAAATAATTCACAATACCTTTATAATCTTGAGAACCGTTGAACAGATATAATCAGTATAGCAACATTTTTCTACCCGTTTTGTAAATAAGATTACTAACTAGTACTATTTTTGTTGCCTACTTATTTGGGTATCCGAAGGATTTGTATTTACAAACGAAGCAAGCTTGTGTATGAACGTAGTATATGACATCTTTGATTTTAATATTAAAATTTTTTTGTTAATAAAACGTAAAACTTGGAAAATATATAAACTGAATACTTTTAAACTTTCAAGGATTTAAAACATCATGATAACTTATAAGATTATAATATAAGCTTTTAGAAAAGGATATATTGAACCCATAGCGAAATGATATTGAACTTATTATTAGGATACTTTTTAAGCAAACATATTAAGACAAAAGTACAGTTGTGCATGCGTGAGCCTAAACATATGGCCGGGACTGTGAGCATATAAAAAGTGGAACGAGTAGAGCAGTAAAGGACCCCGTTTACGAGGTCGTTGCTTGTTCGTGAGTATTCTGTATCTGGTTGCTCCTTTTCCGCATTGCCTTTTTACAGGATACACGCACAGATACGGAATTTGTCCCAGACCATGGTCGGGAAATCGATGCAGGCCAACAGCCCAGGACAATACGAAGAATCTCTCGTTCTCTACCTCTATATGTATGTATTTAAGTTTATATAAATATATCCCTGCAATTTGTGGTCCTGCGCAGTCATTTCCGTTGTCCTTTCTTTTCCTTTTTTTTTCTAGGAAACATGGCTTTTAATTTCATTAACAGTTACAGAGCTCTGCTAAATCAGCTGTTGGCTGAGCGAAAGAGATAGAGCATACCAGGATTCAAGGTCTACATTTCTGTATCCTATATAATGATATATATTCGTGTATATAGAAAAAATATATATATATAGGATGTGTATCTGGTCAGGACACGAACGTTTCATGTTATACTTACTAACGAACTTTGCCTTCCACATTTTGGAGGGAGGACTTCGTCACTGGGCTTTTTTTGTTTGATTATGACGTGCAAGCACGTACGCAAGCAGAGACGTAACGAAAAGGGGTTGGAGTTCAGCAATGGTATCCCAAAAATCTATGTTATATTTGAATATTACTAAAAAGAAAAGGAAAAAGTTATTAGGTATTATTAAATCACAATTCTAGATTCAGTAAAAATATATATGAGAGTCGTAGAAAAAAAAAGGAAAATCAAATCTAAAACCGTTTACAACTTTTAATATATTTAAATATATTTTTTAAATTGTAACCGTTCACGATGATTCGAGTATTCACTATGCATACATCACCGTTCATAACATTGGTTCAGGTCTCAGGATATGATTTCATTTTAGTATATTTTTCGCAATTTCTTAGTATTTATAGCATACTATTTGGGGATTATTTAGTACATTTCATTTATCCCCTTGAGTATATTGGTGAGCCAACACCAAGGTCACTCTATCACTGAGTTTTGTGGCGTCCGGTTGACTTTCCGTAAATCGCTGCGTCGCGTGCGTTCTCCTCATCGTTTTGTTCCTCCACGTTTTTGGCGTCGTCGTACGTTTACGTGTCCCGCTCTCTCTCTCTCTCTCTAACTTGCGCGCGGGCTCTCGCGCGTGCCTAAGTGTATGCCGTGCATGTGTGTGTGTTGGTAAAGCAGCGCAGCGCAATAGAAGCAGAAAAAAAACATTAGTGAATTTTTTTCGGGTGAAGCGCGGTGAAAAATGCGTGCGCGCGTGTGTGTGTGCGTGTGTGCGAAAATCAATATGAAAACATGAATAACAAAAGCTAAACGAAACGCACAGCATAAATAAGAAAGAAAAAAAGTTCAACAGTAAAAATAAAAGAGAGAAATATAACAGAAATAAAGAAAACAGTTAGCCATTCCAGTGAGTGCAAGCATCGGCACAAACACACACATAGCAAACACACCACCACATCGATTTCCAACAGAGATCCAGCAAATCCAGGGTTCCAGTTGCCAGTTTCCAGGATGTCGCTGCAAACGAAAAGGCAGCACTGCTATTTGTGCGATTTACCACGGATGCCATGGGCCATGATCAACGACTTCTCGGAGGCGGTATGCCGCGGTTGCGTCAATTACGAGGGCGCCGATCGCATAGAAGCGGTGCTGGACGCCGCCCGCCAAATGAAGCGTTTACATCCCGCCAGCAAACAGCAACGTTCCCATGAAAACGGTGAAGTTTCCGCTGCAGCGGTAGTTCTCCAACAGCAACAACAACAACAGCAGCAACAACAACAGTTACAAGTGGGTCCAGTTCCTGGACCAGGACCAGGTTCTCATCGCGGCGGTGGTGGTGGCGGTCCACCTGGTGGCCCTGGAAACGGCCCTGGTCCATCGGGGGCGGGGTCTTTATCACTTGGCAATGCTGTGGCTGCCGCCGCCGCTGCAGCAGTTCATCATCATCATCAGATGCCCTATCAAATGCCCGTGCCACGCATCGGTCCGCCCCTTGATTATCCCGTTAAACTGGAAGATGGCCCTGGCGGTGGGGTGCGACCCGTTCGGATTTCCCATATGACGCCCCATCACCTGCCGCCAAATGCAACGCGCGGCGGTGGTGGTGGTGGTGTTGCACCTGGCGGAGGCGTGCCCACAGCCGGAAGTGGTGGCAGCAATATACCACCCGCTCTGTCCGTTAATCTTAAACGACCGCCCAGCGAGGATGTCGATGTGGATGTTAGCCAACAGCAACAACAATCGGCACATGGTTTAACACCAGATGGCGTCCCAGCATCCGCTTTATCCGCCGGCGGAGTTGGAGCCGGTGGCGGTCCGCCCGGTATTAAGCGCAGCGCCATGGATGATCCAACGGGCGGTGGCGGTAGGCCACCATTGACGCGAGGTGAATCCCTGCCAGCAGCAGTCAGTTATGTGCCCGAGCGGCAACTGAGCGGTCTAAGGGATAAACAACAGCCTGTCAGAGCGCCCAGCTTCGATGCATCGACCTTTAAAGCAGGTGAGTGAAATATTATTAGATTAATATTATTAAGATAATAATGTTCTTATCAAATAAATAATAGACAGTAGTCACTGGAGACTAGAGATCAGGAAAAAACAATATGTATTTATAATTTCTATAAAAATTGGGAAAATTATTAGGAAAGATTGAAATCTTATAAAGTTTCTTAAAGATATTTATTAAGCAGCTTCGATAACATGTTTAAATATAAGATAATCTTTATCTTGATTCAACAAAGGCACTTTTAACAGATATTTAAAATCAATATCAGTAAAGAATCAAACAAAATATTATTTGAAGTATGTTTACTGTACCAGAAAAAAAGAGATCAATTAAATGTCATTTGTGGAACATTATATTGGACTTTAGAATTATACGATTACGGTTGGAAACTACCAAAAAAATCGAAATCCTTATCAGTTTTGGATGAATAATCATCAGCTGCGGTATATATTATATATATATATATATAATTGTTGAGCACGATTCATAGAAGAATGAAATCAAACTAAATAAGGGATAAAATTAGTGTATTGTAAAAAATTTTAAAAACTCAGCAGGTCAATATATATTATTTACAAATTACAATATTATCAATCACCCTGACAAAGTTAAAGGAAAACAAGTTGGGATAATCTCGTATCAATGATAGATTTCTTATCAGTTCCTAGCAATCGAAACGCCAATGGGAAATACGCGATTAGAAATAGAAAATTATAGAGTGACAGGGAGAAAAAGGGGACTATTTCGTATCAATTAAAGCGATAGATCAGTCTAGGTGAACTTTCTGTTGATCGAACCTCTTCAAGAAAATTAGGTTCTTATCAAGTTACAGTGATAACTTGGTAACATTTACATTCACATTAAAAATTATTATTTGATATCTTTGTAAACGAAGCTTGTAGGGAACCAATAGGAAACCTTCAATCCTTGGATTTCTGATATTTTTTTTTTAATTTAGATTGGCAAATAGAAATTTCAAGCAACTAAGTGTACAAAACTTGTTTAAACAAGTGCCGTAAAGCGAGCTCATTTAATTGTTTAAAGTTTTCTTTTGTTGACTTCAAAATAAAAATGCTCTGAAAATGATAATTTGTTTAGATTTGAGATGTGAGCTTTGAGTTTCCGATTTCTTAGCCAATGAAAGGTTATACATTGTTTAAGTTCCAGAGTTTTAATTAACTGGCGTCCACCGTATTTGTTTACCGTTTTTTTTTTGAGCGCCGATCGCGTGAGGGAGGGAAACAAGGAGCGTGCGCTGTCTGTTTCGTTTTAGCCTGGATGTGGGTGGTGGAAGAGGGTGAAGGAGGTGCCTGTAAAGGAGGCAGCGAATATAGATAAGACAGGGCAGCCAAACTGGCACACATACAGATTATTCAGGCCAGAGTGAAACGGCGTGATTGCCTGCTCCTTATCTCTCCTGGCTGGAAGGCGAATAAGAAGAAGAGCAATCTACTAGTATATGTATATGTACATATATATGTATGTATATATGTACGGTTGATAAGAAGCGTTGTATTTGAGATTAGATAACGCATTTGCGTTATCAGAACGTCCTTATCTCTTCCCAATGCGTATGTATGCATAACCCACACACTTGCATATATGAAAAAAAAAAACGTAGAAACGCATTTTGCAACCCTCTGTGGAAAAAAAGGGGCTTCCAACCCTTGCCATTAAAAGGCATGCGCACATGCCAATATACATATAGGGAATATACATGTACCACACGTATACATACATAGCTACGTGTTCGTTTACATGCACGTACGTAACAGTCGTAATGGCAAAAACAAAAAGAAGAAAGAAGAAAAAAAAAACACCCAAAAAAAGCGCAAAAAGCTCACGAAAAAAAGGGCCGCAGAATGTAATAAAAACAGAGACGTGCAAAAATCGTCGACGCTGACGTTGTAATGTTCTTGCTTCCTCTCTCTTTCTGTTTGCCCTCCTCTTCTTTTCAAACTGGTTTCGTCGTGTATTCGTGTGTTACTCTGTGTGTGTGTGTTTTTTTTTTCTTGGCTGCGCGCGCAAAACGTCATTAAACTTGTTTTGGTTTTCGCTGCTGCTTCTTCTGCTGTTTCTCCTTTTTACGCTATGCGATAACAAGTTGCACACACAAACACAATCTAACCAGGGTGTAGATAAATTTTAGTTGGTATACGAATTACGGAACGAGCTGCAGTGACAAAAGCAACAACAACAACAAACACTGTAAAAACAAGATGAAAAAACTTTTTCGCTCATACCGATGCCGTCATCAAACAGTGGGTCGAAAAGCTGATTTTCCGCTATGAAAAAATATATGTATGTAATGAATATTTCCGAACAACCAGAACTTCTTATTTTATATATTGCTAAGCAAGCGATAAGCGCTTTTTAAGTTTAAATTTACTCTTATCTCAAAATAAATTAGCTTTATCAAGAAAACAAAATTTAGAAACAAGTTAAAATCTATCCGAAATGCCTTCCTACAAACGAATTGCTAAATGAACTTGACAAAAATAAATTCTTTATCAAATATGTACATACATCTGTATATATATTTCTGGAAATCCCCACTTAACACCCACTGTGCCAATTTCGTTTGTTGTTTTGTATTTACGTTACGCTTCTGCTTCTTCCTTCCTGTGTGTATTCGTTTCATTACCAAAAAAAAAAAAAAAAAAAAAAAAAAAAAAACCTACATACATATATACCTACTCTGATACATACACATGCACATATTTATTGCGTTTGTGTATATACTAAAAATATAACAAACATTTTCTCGGTGTACAGAGGAAAAACTGTATGTATAAAATGGAACGGCAACGTGCGCGCGCCACCCCCTCAACCTTTCCCCAACAACATCGACCCAACCTCTTCTTTCGCCCACTTCACACCCCCTTTTCGTTTCGTTTCATTCAGCGCTTCGTGTTGCCGGCTATGTATGTGTGTGTGTGTGTGTTTGTGTATCTGTGTATCTGTATCTAGTTCGTCTGTATGCATTTTACTGACTGACCATTCCAATGCGTTCGCCAGGAATTTCGTTCGTGCCTTCGCTTTTGGTGGCAGGAAAGCGGTAAGGGGAGCGAGGAGTTCATCTCCTTCTCTCATAATTAGACATTGCGTGCCCAGTGCAGCTGCAGTTGCAGTTAGTGCAAGCGAGATGGCTAGCTGGAGTGCATGGCCGCTGTTAACCGTTAAAACACGTGAAGCAGCAAAGTCGCTGCCAATGATTAGATACAGCCGAGGTCACAAATACATATGTCTCTATAAGAGTAAAATAAAGAAAAGAGGAATATAAAATAATTATTATAAATTAAATTTTGAAAAGATTTTAAAAACTTACTGAAAACTTTTTTTTAAAAAAAATTAATATTTAAAAGAATTTAAACATTGCTAGGACTGATTTAATAGCTGCTAATTTTTCTGATTTTTGACTGCCTTGACTGTTATAGCCTACTTTTTGGCGCTAATACTCGGGGATGAAACAATGCCTTTTATAGGTTGCATAAGCTTTTTTTCTGTAGAACCGAAATATTTGTATTATTTTAACAGGGTCTAGAATTTTCGACCTTGTGAACAACACATACATATTGTACATATTTGTGTGTAAAAACATTTGTATTTTTAATCAAAAATGCCTGACAAGTTGAATTAAACGTGTCATTCATATTTTCTTTTGGGTTCAAGAGCCTCAGAAAGTAGATGATTTAATGCCACATGATATATCTCATTAAAACAACAAGTGAACAATTTTTTTTGTTTAGATTAAAGTTATGCAATAGTTATAATATTATCTTTTATCTTTCCTCGTTTACAATTGTTTATCAAATAATTAAAATGAAAATGATATTTGTAAGGGTATTTAGAGCTTTCCTTACACTTTCTATTTATCACATTCTGCGAGAGAGTGTCAATAGGAATGGGATTTGGTCTGTGTGTGAATAAGATAAGCGATTAACTTATCGGCATAGATTGCGCCATCAGCCATCAGCCTTATCATATCTTATCATATCTGAGGGACCCGACCATGTGGTTAATTGATAAGCCAAACAACTGCTCGATAAGGAGCTAAGCCCCAAAACATGAGACCCACCGACGAAACAAATTGACGGAAAGAGTGGCGGTAAAAGCCAGATATGATATGAAATCGCCGGTTTTTTCTTCTGATAACTGATCGATTATTGATGGATAGATGCCGGAATTATTTTTTTTTATCAACTTTTTAGTTAGGGGGAAATTTATGCCACGTTTTATGATACTATTTTTTGGGGTTTTCTTAGTTTTATGAAGGATTTTCTATGGTTAATTAAACAAATTAAAGTTAGTTTTAGTTATTGCTGATGTTAGAAAAAATGTTTTAGAAAGTATTTTAGCAGTTGTTAGCTTATCGCTGTAGATTTTTATGGTTATTTTTATGTATTTCTTTGAAATTGAAGTCAAAGTTGAACATTTTTCGAAAGTGTGTAAGCAAAAGCCCTACAGTTTCTTGATCTTTTCAGTGAGATCATTCCGATTTTTTACGACTCTGCGTTGATAAGCTCTTTTTAGCCCCCCTCCCTCCCCCGACAATTGAAGATAAGAAAGAGGGGGGAAAAAAAACACAAGCGGTGGAAAGTACGGGGAGTATAGGGTATATAATATACCGCTTCTCGTTAGCATTTCAAATTCCATTTCCATTTTCACTTCGATTGCACTTTCGTTTGCTCTTGGCCGCTGCTCTTTTTATACTTAATATGTACACACAGCTGTTTTGTTTATCTTATCTAATTGTTAAGTGGACGGACTGGGGTCCTCTCGGCCAATCTTATCAACTCAACCACGGCCAACTTTGACTGATAGCAATGCGTTGTACCGGGTCGCTTTATATATATATATTTGTATATATATATATTTCTATTTCATTGGTCGATTTATTTGAGTAGATTTATTTATTTTTCATTAGATCTTCTGTCTTTTGTTAAAGTTTTCTGTTTTCTGTTCTCAACATTAAATAAACACAAATAAATGTTGCCCTTTGAAGATGTTCAATCGATGGAGATATTGGGATCCACTTAAAATTATATTGCCACTTGAGGCAATATTCAATTTTGTTGTATCTTTGAATAACTTGAAATATTGTCCATGATAAGTAGGGGCATTATACAGCGAAGGAGGGTCGGGTCATGTTACTATAGGATATAGAAAACATAACACTGAAATTCAAGTAGAATATTAGATATATTTTATGGGAATTTCCTATTGAAGAATTCCAAATATACAAACAGCTGTTTTTCATTATTTTATGTAATATACTAACTATCTATAACGTTTTTCCAAGTCACGTGGTTTTGATAACTTCCAGAAACAATATTATAGATAAGGTCTATAATCAACGCATCATTATGTGTTACTTATTGGGTTATTAAGGATTCGTAGTCTTATCAAATAAGTTGAAACACTTATCATGACTTTAGAGTTTGTCATTAACCTAGCTTTGATAAACTATAGAAACCTATAGAAATTGATTAAATAAAATGAAGTGCGCCCTTCCTATACATTGTTTTTGAATGATAAAAACAAAAAAATATGATTTAATTATGACGAAAAAGTTTATAATCTCGTTGCTTGATAAATTGTAATCCGCACAAATTCTTGGAGTTTTGTTTCGATTAATTCGCCCAGCAATAATTCCATTACTTTTCCCAAGGGAATCTCATATCAATACTCAGAAAAAAAAAGCTTTCTAGTGTTGCGAAAAAAAAGACAAATATTTATATAGGGCGTGGTCGCCGCCCATTTGGGTGTGGTGTATGAGGGCGGGGAGCGATTCGTTTTCATTCATTCGAAGGCTGGCGAATAGTTTCTATTCTAACATATAAACAAGACAACCATATACAATATGGTTTCTTTTCCGATATTTGTATATACAACAACATTGTATAAATATTTATTGTTTGTAGTTCTCGGCCAGAGCTGGCTCATGACTGAATATTTGTAATAAATTGTCAAATGATTCATTCTAGCAAAGTAGTGCGAAAATAAGAAACGTCGAATATCGGAAAAATATTCCATAGCTAGGCAAAAATAATGTGTGCTCCAATGTGTGAATGTTGGAAAAACGTAAACTAATCTATAAATAGTTTTCATATTCGAGATACTAAGAACGAATGAGATCGCGCAAATTTGTTTGTTTTCAGCTCCCCAATGTGTATGAAAAACAAATAAACATTGATGTCGACTCTGACTATAGTGCTACATACATATGTATGTGTATGCGCCTTAATAAAAAGTCGTTTCAAAAATAGATTGCAACGAAGTTGCAGTCAAGTGAAGTTCGAATGCAGTAAACTGAAACTGATTACAGTGGTTCGTTGGAATTAGAATGTTTTGTGATAACAATGATGATGTGTGTGAGTAATGCTAAAAAATGTTAATGATCCAGAACGAAATTTAAGTAGCTTTTTTCTTTATGAGTATTTCACTAAAAAAAAGTTTATTTGTCTAACTATAAATGTAAAATTCCCATAAATCTTTAGGGCATTAAAATTATACTTTTGAATTCTTCAAATACTTTTCTTTCAAAGTGATCACAATGTTTATAGTGCTTAGTTGATTTATTACTGTAGGTATTTTAATGAATCATTATAAAGTTTGGAAAATGTCTGTTTTATTAAAATGTCTAAGTAATATATAATAATATATATATATATGACATTAGATAACATCTACCTTCATGGCACTACTGTATTCCTTTCCTTTTTTACTTGCACTTTGCCCACTGTACGTGGTTGTTGCAACTGTATGTGGCAGGCTTGCTATCTTGCTCCAACGCTCGCTATCTCCGCATTTTTCTTCTCAATGGGCCACGCACATGCAACTGTGCAACTGCAGCAGCGCGAATGAAATGGAGAATGGGGGGAACAGAGCTATAGAGGAGAGAGACAAAGAGAGAGAGAGTCAGCGAGAGGGACGGGATAGGCTTTCGCTTTGGCATTTATTGCTGTTGTTCTTCAACTCTTGCATGCAAAATATAAACAAATGCTATAAATACACACACGCACACGTACTTTAAGTGTGTGTACGTGTTGGGGCCACACAACATGCACGACATCGACTTCTGCTGCTGCTGCTTCTTCTTCTTCTTCTTGCCTCCTTCTCCTGCTAGCTTGCCTTGCCATCTTTGCCATTTTCTTCTTCTGCTTCTTACGACTTCTTTCGCCAATTTAGCCAGCGTAAGCAATTTAGCAAAAAGTAAAAAGCAAAAGCAAAAAGCAACAGAAGCAACAGTTTATCAAATAAATAAACATAACAGCACACTGGGCATATGTTTGAGCTTAATTTCGTATGCAGCCCACTGTGCGCCGCCGGCAAACTGACAAGCGTCGACATTTGAGCAATGTGCCATCCTCTGTTGGGCATACAAATTAAATACGTTTTTCCATTCGCTTGCTAGTCTATCTTTTGCTTTTTTTTTTATTTTCAATATCAAGCAGCTACGCGTGCGCGTGCATTGCATACACAAAAAAAAAACGTCAAGAAAAAGGGGGGAAAGATGTGAAATACATAAAGCCAACAAGTTAACAGCGAACTAACAGGGCCATAACAGAGAGCGCAAATAAAACCAAAAGCGCACGAATGATGGTAAGAAGAAGCAGCTCAGTCAAAACAAATCGTCGGCGGCGTATACACGATGTACGCATGTATATGTGTGTCTGGTGGTGTACATACACATTATTGCATGCTGGCATGCTGGCATGCAAAAAAAAAATAACAAAACGAGATGGAGAAACAAACCGGCTGCATCTTCTCTTTCACTCGACCACTCTATCTCCCTCTTTTCGTGACGTATGCGCAATAGCAGCAGAACTTGTTTCGTTTCATTTCCCTTCATTTCGTTTTGCCTCCTGGCACTTTGCCAACAACCATATTAAGAAGAAGAACAACAAGAAGAAGATAACGAAGACGAAGAAACGGTGAAACAAGAGCAACAAAAACAAAAGAGAAGAACAAAAAACAAAAAAAAAAAAAAAACAGCTGTGTGAGTTTGCACAGTGGAACAAGAATGACACGCAATAGTATCGTGCCGCTGTGACGTCACATATTCAATGGCTAGCCGGTGAATGAAATGTGTTGTTGTTGCTCTTCAGCCGGCGTTGCCAAGTAATAAATGAATGTGCATATATATATATATGCAAGTACATGCATTAATATATACCTATTCAGATATATATATGTATATATATGTAGAAAACAAGAAATATATGGAAACATGTTTCGTGCCAAGTTCTAAAATTACACAGACAGAACAACAGCAACAACAAAATAACAAGCCCCAAATACAACAATTTCAATTTGCAATAAACTAAGAAACAAAAAAAAAAGGAACATGTGATTAACTTTTTGTTTAATTCATTCGCCTATAAAAAAATCGAAAGCACAAAGTTGAATGAAAATGTTTCGTTCTTTGCAAAATATTTATAAAACTACAGTAAACAGTGGGTGTAAGTTAAATAAGATCACCTTTTCTAATAATAATATTATAAATATTTATTTTTTCCAAAACCGAATTTCTTTCTAAAGGATTTTGTATAGAAAAAGTAAGAAACTCATCTCTAAAATCTTTTTAAAAAATACATTATAATATTATTAAAAAAAAATCAATCAATTAATTTAAGAGTCGACTTAGCCCCATCCTCGCTTATGTCAACGTTAATTGTTCATAATTTACTATAATTAATAAGATGAGTTCTTAATTCATGGAGACTGCTGCTCATAATGATTTTGTTCATGATGACTGTCTGTGGACAATAGTTAGTGGGTGTGTCGACATACTTTTGTATGCCAGTGTATTATCATGTGGCAAAGTGGGGCCAAGGCCCATTCTACATTGCACTTGACTCACGAGATCACAAAACTTCAATAGGATCTTTGTAATCGAATGATCATTTTTGACACTAAAAAGATTTTTTTTTAATTAAAAATAGTTTAGTAAAAATTCTGTACTTTTGAATATCGAAATGTGGTAGTTAAATATTGAAAAATTAATATATTAAAGCTGTAATATTTTATATTTTTAATCGAATTTCAAATCGCTTTTTCATATTGCAGAGCACATGTCCCCGGCCAGTCGACGCAATGGATCGAGCCCGCCCTCGGGACCGCTGCCCCCGCGCAGCGTACACTCGCCGAACAGTTCGGGTTAGTTAGCATATTCGGTTTACAATTTGATCCTTTGATCCTTTGTAATCCTTTTATGTTATTAAATCTAGCACAATATTTTGATATTTTAGAGTTTTTATGATAAGTTCTCTAAGTTATCAGTGCATTTGTGCAGTAAAATTAGTAAAAGCAACTTCTAATTAAATGAATTACCTTGCAGGTTCCTCGTCGGGACGTCGTTCATCCGGATCCCGTCACGTGTCCAGCACCACCGTCACCAGCTCCGAAGTGGGCGGCTCGAATCCAGGCCAGGCGGTGGTTGCCGGCGGTCTTGGAGGCAGTGGCGGAGGAGGACCCGGATCTAATTCAGCCAGTGGACCCCTTGGCGGACCGAATGGTGGCAGTGGACAGCTGAGTTGCACCAGTGGTGGACCGGTCGGCGGTGCCAGCTCTGGAAGCGGTGGCAATGGAGCCATAGGTCCCGCCTCGATGGCACCAAACTCGGTGGCCGGCGATGGAAGTCCGGCTGGCGGTAATGGTCCATCTGGCAGTAATGGCAGCGGCGGAGCAGTTAATCCCGGTCCCGGCAGCAGTGGTAGTCAAGGCGGCGGTGGTGGTACACCATTGTCCAGCGGCGGTGGATCGGCGGGCAGCGGTCTCGGTGGAGCTCCGGGAAGCAGTGCCGCCTCGAATTCAGCAGCGGCAGCAGCGGCGGCAGCTGCCCAGAATGCCACGCTTAAGTGCACCCTGTGCCAGGAGCGATTGGAGGATACACATTTCGTGCAATGTCCATCGGTGAATCACCATAAGTTCTGCTTTCCCTGCAGCCGCGAGAGCATCAAACGACAGAATGTGAGTTGGGTGAAGGAAGGATATAAGTTGGACATCATCATAGTTTTCCAGTATCTAATTATAGAAAGGAGAACTTGATTGTAGTTTCTGTTAATCCTGTAAAAATAAACTAATCTTATTTTCATTCACAGGGCCTGGGCAACGAGGTGTACTGTCCCAGTGGCGATCGCTGTCCGTTAGCCAATTCGGTGATACCTTGGGCCTTTATGCAGGGCGAGATCACCACCATTCTGGGCGAGGAGGTCAAGGTGAAGAAGGAGCGCGAGTCTTAATGTCCATTTTACTGTAAGAAGCTGCGCAGGGCTTTGGAGCATTTTTGAGAGGCGAAAACTTCCCGGATTGTATGATATATATGATGTATATCTAACATCCCAACTCTCGACGCTCACTGTATTGATTGGTGGGTCAACTGGTTTATAAGATTGTGGAACTTTTTTTTGGACACGGCCACGGCGGCATCTCATCAGCGCAGTAGCATATAATATATCATTAATATATTATGACGCTCTGCCTTTGTCCATGACGACCGACCAAACAACAGCAACAACAGCAAACCAACAATTTTGTAGGCGTAAGCAACAAACTAAAAACTAAAAAGCAAAGATGAAATCACTTAAATGAAAAATGCAATTTGTTACCAGCAAGAAAAATTGTTTAAGAAGAACAAAACAAAAAAAAAAACAAAAAAAGGAAAACACCAAAACGCTAGCAAAGCAAAATGTTAAGCGAGAAAGCGTTCAACACACATACATTTTTGTAGCATACTTATTAGAGAAAAGCGTTGGGAAAATTTTGTCCAAAAGAAGAAGAAATATAGAAAAGAAAAGAAGAAGAAGAACACCAACCAACTCGAAATTTCTACAAAAATGCATACGTAGCCAAGTGAGAAAGATTTTCAAAACGAAAAGTGAAGGAAAACTTGAAATATTTCTAAAATAACAAACTAAAAAGGAAAAGGCAGTAAACTGAAATCAACCTAATTGTAGCAGAAAAGAGATGAGAAATCACAATTAATAAGGAATATACACTTGCTGGCATTAGATATAAAATCCTTTTTTTTAATACGATTATACATAAAAACCGATATATATATATATATATATTTCTATATATATATATTATATTATATTATACGATAACTATAAATTCTGTTATGTAGGCGAGCGATTTAATTAATAAGTTAAACTTAGTTTGTACTAATTAATTAATTTATTTCTATACATGTTGCCTAATTTACAAATTTACAAATTTACAATTTACATTTTACCCTAAACTTCCCTCACACTTTTACGTTTTTTTTTTTTTTTATTAATTAAATTGTATTTTTATATTTATAAATATCACTTTTTTTTGTAGGTTTAACTAATTTAAAAAGAAAAAAAAAACACAAACACAACAATGAAAACAAAATAAGCGAATGGAAAGGAAGGAGAGGAAAACAGTTATTATGCTAAAGAAATGTACATACGTATGCATACCACATAATCGGAATATAAATATATACATATATTTAATAATATAGAAATATATTTGATGTTGAACACAAAATTGGCGGCAAAAAACAAAAAAAAACATAAAGCAAAAACAACAAACAACTGGCAACACACCATCACAATGGATAGTTGCATTGGAATTTTAAACAGACTTTTAAACCACAGCGAATAGCATTCGCAAACTGACAAAATTTTAGCCATATTTTTTGTGTTTTTGAATGAGAGAGAGAGTCAAGGAGGCGATATAGCAGCGCTCCCCTTTTGAGTATCAGATTGGCAAATCTCTTTTAGCTATACATTTAGGGTGTATTATATAGCGCTGGGCAAGATATTATCTGCAAGGGGACAGAAAGAGGGGAAAAAACACACAAACAAAAAACTGGACCAACCAATCGAAAAAAAACTTACAACAGCACAAAAAATCTCGATATTGGTTTTGAAAAATTTGCCAGAGATACATCTCCTTTTTGTAAAAGCGTCCAAAACGAAAGCGACTTGGGACTGCGCCTCAATGCCAATTGTCCTTTTTGCAGTTCCAACTCGAAACTAATTTATAAATATTGTCTACGAAATGGGGTTTTTTTTTTGTTTACCAGGCAGGCACGAAAAGGAAATCCGAACGGAAAGCGAAAATTAAGATGAAAGTGGAGAAATGTCAAGTAAATCACAGTCGTTAAATACAGTTTATATATATATGCATAAAACATATATAGAACTGGAAGTCGGGCGTGTATTATCATGTTCAATCGCCATAGTTCTTAAATGATAATCGTAGATTTCATTTTAAATATCATTTGAAAACATATTTCTTCCTATTTTGTAGAGAAATTTATTTGGTTTAATTTTGGAGAATTTCGTTTGCGAATTTATAAGTACAGTTTGTACAGGATTACGATAGAAACATTAAACAATCGGCCATTATCGATAGCACAAAATCATGCATGATATCGATACAAATGAAAAAAGTAAGTGAAAATGAAATAAAGTATATATAAACATGTAGTTCTCCATGATTTCTCATGATTTCTTAAACCCCCCCTTATCATTCCCTTTTTCTTCTATTTTTTAATCCTAAACTTTTTTTGGTTTCTCTTCAAGCGGAAGAGCAGTTGCAACAAAGAAAAAAAAAGTAAAACAAAAACGATAAAGAAAAACACATTTTGTGATATAGCCTAGCAGAAGAAGAAGAACAACAAGAAGAGCATGAAATCCTGGAAATCGGAAAATACGAATATTGGAAAATGCACGAAAAGCGAGGAAACTAAGAAAAAACTTTTACAGGCTCAGCACTTCGGCCAACCAGAAAACGATCTCATTTTAAATGAAAATGAGATACGCAATTAAAAAAAAAAAAAAGAAAGAAAAGAAAAGAAAATGGGAAAAAAAAACAATTTATAACGAAATCATACAATAGGCCAATACCAACGTTTTAGCAATCTAAGTCTAAGAAGAAAACTAATCGAAATTTTCTTTACAAAAAAACTAAACTAAATAATAATAATAATAATAATAATAACTAACGTTTGTAAACCTTGTGCGTGTGTGTGTAAAACAGTAGTGCTATCTAAATATAATACAAATCAGATATCGCATAATGCATCAACCTTATATAAGTACGAGTACATACATATTAAAACAAAAACAAAGAAATGGAATATAAACTATATTTGTGTGTTTGATGTCAGTCAACTAAATGTTAAAGTCAACTAACGATCACGTAATTGTATTGCATAGCCTATAACATTTTTTGAACGAAGCAAACCAAGTCGATTCGATTTAGCATGAGTATCAACTTTATACTACATATACACTTAACGACTAAAGATATACACACACACACACATGTATGTATGTGTGGTATGTGGTACAACTAAGACGACAACCGGATGTAGCACACACGAAAAACGATTACCAAATCGGAAGCGGAAGCTGGCAACGATTAATTGATTGATTGATTGGGGACTTTGATGACGGGCAAAAACAATTAAAAATACTATACAAAATCGAAAAAAAACAAAAACATGCAAGTGTTTTTCTTGAAGTTTTATTTCTGGGTGAACTTTTGATTTGGGGAAAAAAACATTGCCTACTTATCGGTGTTTCCTTAGCACTTTCAGGGATTTTGGATTTCATTATAAAAATAATGATTGTGACCTGAACAGAGATAGGCATTATTAGTATTTATTATTTTTTTTTTTCGAAACAAAATATATGAGGATGGATGACAGGACGTATGAGTGATATTTAAAATTTATATTAAATATTGCTCATACGACTCGTTATCAGGTAGTATTTCGATTTATAATATTACTCATACGACACTTAGCCCACATTTTTTTAAATAGGTTATAAGTTTCTGCCTATTATACTCCCATTTATATATTGGTAGAGGATCCGATAATCCTAATAATATTTATCTAGTGTCCAAGTCTCAAATTCATATTATATATTGATCATACGACTCGTTTTCAAGAGGTATTTCGTTTTACAATATTACTCAAACGCCACTTTGCCCAATTGTTGGGATAGGATATAGGTTTCTGTCTATGATATTGCCAATTTATATATCGGTAAAGGATCCGATAATGGATGACAGGACGTATGAGTGATATTTATATAGATCGCTTTTATATCAGATAAAGTTAAGAGTAAAGTTGCAATAACTTTCTGAAATTGTATATAATTAATAAAAGATATTTTAGAATGTTTTTAAAACTTATCTTGTATCCAAGTCTCAAGTTCATTTTAAATATTTCTCATACGACTTGTTGTCAAGTAGTATTTCGTTTAAAAATATTACTCATACGACACGATAGCCTTCTGTCTATGATATTACCAATTCATATATCGGTAGAGGGTTCGATAATCTTAATAATACATGTTTCTTTTTTTCTTGTCTTCTTTAGATAACTTTTTCTCTGCATATACTACCAAAACGCCCTCTGTGGATTGTGTCTTCCAACGATTTATCGATAAAGGATGCGATATGCAAGTCTTTCGGCTACTGAAAACACACAACAGAGGTCGCTTTGCTGCGCAATCAGCCAGCGGGAGAGCTCTATTTCTCCGGCTCATAGTCGCTCTTTTTTCCTAGCCCGGCAAGCGATGGCGTTCCAATGTTTACATTTTAACGACCTCAAATCCAAGCGCCTGAACCATCGTTTGAGCATCGGGTGCGAATCCTCTGTACGATGAAGCTTCGTGTCCTCGGCTCTCAGCTGCTGTCGCTGCTTTCACAGCCGCTGATTTTGCCACAGTGGCTCTGTTATTTGTGCGTGCGCGTTGCCAATAAACGGGCAGCGGCCTCTGCTCAGCTTTTGTGTGATAAAAATTTTGGATTCCTGTGGATTCCGATTGATAGTTTATCGTTTAACCGTTAGCCAATTAATCAGCGTCTGTGTGTTCCCCAATTTTTTAACCGGTATTAATTATTATTCCCATTGATTATGTTTCTGTGTATGTGTGAGTGTGTGTTTGTGTGTTTGTGTGTGTTTGTATGTGTGTGCTGGCCTCAAAATATAGGCAACATGAAGTATCAAAACGGTTTTAAGCACAGCCAGCTTCCTCGCGCTCTCTCTCAATCTCGCCCACTCGCTATCTCTCTGGATTCCTCTACAGCGCAATGTGTTTGTGTTATACACAGGACACGGCTGCGAATACAGCCGCAAAAAGCGAACTCACACGTATACGGAAACGGGACTGGATACCGTAACTTTCCTTGCGCCCACGCACGACCACATCCACATTCCTAGCGGCAAGAGCGCACTCGCTCCAGTCGTTTTCTCGCTCTTCCGTTATTCGGGTTTTTCGCTCTCTAACTTGGACAGTGGGTTTGATTGGATTTGTACTAAATTGGCATAGTTAATGTTTTCGATTATATTCCTTTATATTTGGTTAAGTCGCCTTAAGGTTTTTACTCTTAATAGTCCTCTTGAATATATTATCTTAATATTTATAAATATTACTACAATCCGATTGTCTATAACTCATTAATTTGTTCTATATAACTAGTAAAATATGTTAAATGAATAACAGAAAGTGTGCCAAGATTTCCCCATCAACCCACTGTGCATAGAGACACTGTCCCTGTTTTCGTCGTCTTCTTTTTTTTGGCTTTTTTTTTTCGGGTGAACTGAAATGATGTTGACTCAACGTGCCAGCAGCCAGCCAGGCGCTAACGGTAACAGCAACAACAGCTACAGCTACAACAACAACTACGGCAACAACCTAACAACGAGACAACAACTGCGTTGTAGTCGTGGTATTCGCAGCATTTAATAAGTGTATTTTCCACGCTGTTTGGCAAATAACTAACGCAAAATTACACAAATTGTGTGCTAGAATTAGATGCTGAAGGTGGAAGAAGAAAAACCAAGTGCTATTATAAAAAACTGTGCTGATAACGGAGGAAGAAAAAGGAAAAAAAAACGTAACTCCTGTGAGTAAGCCAGAGAGGACGAGATTCAGAGAGAGAGAGAGAGAGAGTGAGTGAGTGAGAGGAAGTGGAAAAAATTCGTCATTCATTCACAAGTGCAATGTAAAAAGACAACAACAACAATAACAACGGCAACAGAAAGGGGCGCTGAAATAGAGCGGCTTAGGCAACAAATAAAACAAATAAAAACAACAACAACAAAAAGCGAAATGAGTGAAGCGCGTGCTTAACCTAAAAGTGCAGGCCACTCACCCACACAATTAAACACAATCAGGAACTCAAACAGGCTAGCACATACAGTTACAGTGCTATACACAGACAAACACATACATACATACATATACGTACATGTGGAGTCTTAGACTCAAATTCATGCTCTTTGTTTTCCACTTCCGCATATCCACAGACAACAACAACAACTACAGCAACAATCGAAATAACAACAACAACAACAACAATGCATAGTTCCTGCTGAGTAGCTTTTTTGTATAATCGAATGAGTGTCCTTTTTGTGTACTTGTGTAAGATCCAAGGTAAGCCAAGATGAAAGCCAATCGAGCAGTGACACCAACAACAGCCACAGCAACAACAACAACAACTATCCCAACAACAACTAAACACTGCCGCCTACAAACAATAAGTTAACAACAACATCTTAGAAGAAAGAAAAAAAACTGAAAGACAACCATCCAAGGAAAAAGCAAAAAGACGAAGGAGTTTGGCCAAAAAGGAATATATCTAAGGAAGAGCATCCAACCCTCGTAGCTAGCTTAAATTAACCTTAGAAAGAAGAACCAACAACAGCCCAACCTATAGCCAATGTTTATAGTCAACACAAACAAACAAATCTTCAAATATCAACTAACAACAACTGCCAATAACAACAATCTTCTTTGTTTAGTTTAACAACTTAAAATTAAAACACCAAATGAATGTTAATAACCAGAAATAAATCACCAACAACAACAACTATTTAAAGAAACTCTACAACAATATCAAGAACTTCAACAACGAAAAGGTTAACAACTAGCTGTTATAAAGACTAAAAACTAAAAACTAAAAACTAAAAACTTCCCAGCAATTGCTAAAACGTTACGAAAAAATTCCAAAAAAAAGGGCTTACCAAAAAATCATCAACAACTATTTAGATGAAAACCAACTAACGGAAACTCGCACTAAAGTTAAAACTCAACTTAAAAATTCAACTTAAAAACTCAACTTAAAAACTCATCTTAAAAACACTCATCAAAACTTAATCTATATGTTGTGGGTTATTAAAAGTATCTTATTAGATCTACGGCTTCCATAAATTTAAAACATTATAACCTAAACTTAAGGACATTCTTTATATACGTCGAAAAGCAAGAAAAACTAAGCATATAAATCACATTAAATCACAAATTTAAAGCACAAATTTAACAATTTAAAAAACAAAAATAACCAACAATTACTTTAAAACAAAAAGCACACCAAAAATATCAACAATGAATCGTCAAAAAGAAACAGTATGATTCTTAAAGATGACAAGAATTTGGCATTAACTTAAAACCTTAAATTTCCTAACAATTAATTAAGTAAAAACTATTTGCTGGGAGTATAACAAATCGAGTAATGGAAACTCTAAAAAGCTAACAAAGACATTTCAAGAACATTCAACACTCGCAACATTAACTTACCACATCCATTAACCACCAACAACGTAGAAGAAACCGCACACAGAGAAGAAAACAAGATTCTTCAAGATGGAGCGTATGTGGCGAAAGGTTAATCACAGTTTACGCAACACGACCAAATCACAGGCACAGTCAGCGACTGGTGGCGAGGCAATCTGCGGTGGTGCTACTGCAGGTGGGACTGCAGCTACGCCCCAGTCCATGGATACGATTAGTTCAGCTGGTGGTTTTGGCGATGGTCAGCTAGTGGTTGCTGTCCAGGGATTGGCCAGCGGATCCATAACTGCAACCGGCGGCAGCAATGCCACCGGAAGACGTCTGGCCAGCAGTGGTGGAGGCATCGGTGGTGGGTGCAACAAGTCACTTAGTCAACATGTCCTGCAAACGCGTACCGCTTCGTCAGAACGACGCAGGCGACGCAGACGAAAGAGTCGACCACGACGCGGCGGCGGAATGGGAGTCACCAGTTGTGTCGGCGATCCTGGCGGAGATAATATGTCGTAAGTTCAAAAAGGTTTTGAAAAACAATCTAAAAAGTTTTTGAAAACTATGATTCTATATACTATATAGCTATATATATTAAATACGGAAGTCTGATGTATCAATGCCATAAGACAATGTGCTAGTTTTTGTAGCACACTTTTAGGCAGCAAACTCTCAAGATATTCCTCTAGCACCCACTTACATTTTGGTTTTCTTTAGTTTTCAATGTTCATTCATAAGACAATGCCCGGTGGGTGATGATGAGACTCTAACAAGGCCTTGACTCGCTTTCCATTGCAGTTCCTCGGGCGGTTTTTATACCCTGAAAGAGCACCAGCACTATCGTCCTAGCCACCATCATGGCGGTGGCATATCCGGCGGTGGCGTTGGCTCATCGCGACGTCTCTTTGCCACTTCGGCGCCCAGCGGCACAGTGATGATGTATCCAAATCCCCAACGCAACACGGCACTAGCACCATCGGCAGGATCTGGATCCGGACAGGCAACCACTTCGGGAGGTGGTGGTGCTGGAGGAGGAGGAGGTGGAGGAACAGCTGGCGGATCCGGATCTGGAGGACAGGCGGACATTTCACTGCGACAGCGGGCGGTGGCCAAGTTGCGCATGTTCAACTTCCATCTCAACTGGGATCTGCACATGACGCACTGCAAGCCCTGCGGGTGAGTAGTTCTTCTACACTTAAAGAAATATATCTGAAAAAAAAAATGAAAATGAATTAGAAAATAAGAAAAGCTGCTTGGGTATAGTATTTTAGAGAAAAAAACTGTTGATCAAAGCAGCTTGAAAGATCTGAAAAGAAAAGAAACATTAAAGATAGTTTTTCTCAGTGCATAACTTTTAGAAACTTGCCTTAGAAAAAATCGGAGAGCACCTTAGTGCCACAGAGATTTCTGTGAGTGCAGCCTGCAACTGGAGTTGCAACTGGAGCTCCACTGAGTTGGAGTGCCCAAGTGGCTGCCACTTGAGTCTGCTCCAGTGGCTTGTGCTTTTGTTTGCCACAGAGTTTTCACCGGCTTGCTTTTTGTTCCCTTTCCCCTCGGCCTTTCCCTTTTTTCTTTAAACATTTTCCCACATTTTCTTCCGCCCTCTGAAAGTTTTTCATTTGTTTTTTTTTTTTTTGCTGTTGTTGTGGTTTGGTTAAGTTTTTTTTTTCAGTTTTTTCAGTTTTTATTTTCAGTTTTTGAACCATTGAAGTGGCCGCGGGCGTTGAACGAACCCGCATGCAAAGTGGGTCGCCGTTCCATTGGGCGCCGAGCTTAACTTTTTTGAGGCTTTAAGCCAACCGTCAGACCGTCGCAGGACGCGCATAATAAGGTAAATGGGGCAGAGTTTTCTTTACCGCCGAATGTGTGAAATTTTAATGAAGCGCCAGCTAACGAGCTCCGCTGTGACCCGCCCACCATGCGGTTGTATAACACTCTCTCTCTCCTCTTTTTTTATATTTTTTAATGGTTAATGTGTTGCGAGGATTGGGCAAGGCTTGGGTCTCTGCTAACTGTCAGCAGAGAAATCAAACTGATGGATGCGATTTAAGGATGATTCTTCTTTCTTTCTATCTTATCATTCAAGTTTTCATATCACTAACCCTTTAACTATATAATATCCTTATCTAATATCCTTTACTAATCCAAATCAACTTGATTACCTGCACTTGCAGTCCCCGTTTGAGTGGCAGTGGTGGCAATATCATCACCCGACGCCTTTGCCGCAATCGTCGGCGGGAGGACAACGAACTGTATCGCTCTAATAGCTTCAAGTTCGAGCGTTTCGAAAGGAAGGAGTGCCTGGAAGAGCTATCCAATACATTGCAGAAGCAGGTGAGTCCTGCTGATTAGTTTTTTTTTTACAGAATTAAGGATTCTGGGGATTATAGGGCACTGAATGCAGCTGCTTTTTCCTAAACTTGTAGTTAATTTATGTTAATGCCACACATGTTGCTGCACATGCCCCAACAATTTATGCGCATAGATTACATCTAATTGAAGTGTCCGATGGAATAGCTTCATTCATCATCAGTAACAGCGTCGGCCACACTAATTAGTGGGTCTCCCAATCACGCTGCAGGTGGTTGCCAGACTGTTCAAAGGATGTGGCCAGAATTGCATAGAGTTAGGTGGCGGGTGCGTAATAGAATAATAATGAACAAGGAGGAGCAGAGTCTCAGGTGGCATTCGTTTGCTATTCGACGAAAGTTCAATCTCCTCTAGCTTCAGTCTCCCCCGAAATCCATCATTTGGGGGGGCTATTTTTTTTATGGCCATGCCAAGGTGCTGCGAGGGGGGGGTGCTAGAATCTAATTAATGGCGCGCAACAAATTGAATTTTAATTGGGCGTCGAATTTGATTTGGCAGCCGAAAGCATTTTTGGCCCCGGGGGCGCCACAGCCGATAACAAAGTTAAATTGAAATTGAACCTGGCGGCAACCGGAGGATGCAGCAAGTGGCCAGAACCTGGGGCCAAGCTTAATGAATATTTAAACATAATTAAAGTCACTGCTTAATAAGGCAATGCCAAAAAAAAACGAGAAGAAGGTACTGAAAGTCTTGGGCGCCAGCAGGTGGGCACTTCTAAGTCAATTATCTGAATTACTTTTGGAAAATGGAATACCTAAATATACCACGAAATTATAAAGTTAGCTTTAATATTTAGTTAGTTAGTCTTGCTGGCTGTTGTTTTGTCAAAAAATATCTTAGAAATACTTTAGAATTCCCCTTTGCCTCTGAGATCTATATCATAAAGCTTATATCCCGGCAAGGTGATATATATATTTCATAGAAAAACTTTTCAAACCCATCATAAGAAGCCTTAGAATAATGGCACTTCCATCCGGGACTTAGCCAGAGGCTACTCAATCTCCAGCCTTAACTTTAAATCCAGACTCTGGCCTCCAGAACTCAATCTGAAATCCAGGCTGAACCTCAGGCTCGCTAATGCGATTTCTCGTTTGCGGGGTGGGGGGAGGTAGAAACTTCAACTTTGTTTTATTTTTTAGCACACGCCTTGGGGGCAACTTTGTGTTTGGCTGTGTGGGTGGTTGGTTGGTTGGTTGGGCTTGGATATTTGGCTTAGTACTCCATCAAGAACGCGGCTAAGTGACAGGCAACCATTTATCAGCTGGCAAACGTTGTCTAAGTACGCTGCGGTTTCTGTCTGCAGAGCACTTCAAATCGCTGTCTCGCTGCCACATCATCATCATCATCATTGGTCCTCCAACCTTCATTCCATACACTCACCCATCCATCCATCCTGGTAGTTCCTCTTGCTGGCCATGTACAACTGTCAGCTGTCCGATTCGATAAGCTGCGTGGACAGCGAATGTAAGCCCCATGGCGAAACCGAAACCCAACACCCAACACCCAATCCCAAAAGCCGGAAGTCCAATTCGAAAACTTCGCCTCACCTGCCGCCGTTCGCTTGATAAATAAATAAGCAGTACAAGTTGGTTAACAAAAATGTTCAAGTAGAAAGATTGAACTTGTAATACCCTTAAAAAATTCGATGATTTAATAGGTCTTAAATATTGAATTTAAGAGATTTTTATATTCTACTATATATATTTTAGAAAATCCTAAGAACAAAGTCATTTTAAGCTGAGTTTAAAGTTTAGTAAAAGGTTAAGGCAAGATGGGAATTTGTTTTTAAGAATGATAACCAAGCTGGTTTATTATTTAAAAATCCTTTTAATCCTTTTCTTAACTTAAAATCAAATCAAGTTAAACCAAAATGAGAGTGTACACTGCAGTTCCAAACTGCAATTCTCTGCCAGCCAACTGACGCGGCTTCCGGATTTTGATGGATTTATCAGGTGTGTGGCAGACGGATACGGCAATCTGTTGGTTGGTTTGGGGATTTGGATTTATGCCCCCCAAGGCGCTCAGTGACAACGCTAGGGGCACTCTCACTAATCAGACGAAGTCTGAGTTCGAGTCCCTAGATATATATTTTCCATTTTACCTCCCCCCCAAAAAAAAGGAAAACCCATGGCAATCCTAAACCTCCAACCACTTGTGGCTGTCTTTGTCAATTCGATTTTCTCTAATATGAGTGGAACAACAGGAAAAGAAAACTCTTGGGTTTGGGGAGGGAGGGCTAACAAATGGCATTTGAAAATTTTCTTGGCACTTTAAGTAGTTCAAACCAATCAGGAAAAAACAAGCAAGAAACTTGCAAATTGTTTCCATAATCGAGCACACCTCATTTTTTAGGGCTTGTCGGGGTTAACTTTGGGGAATTAAATTTGACTTTGATTGAACTTTATTCAAATTTTGATTGACCTAAACATGATGGCAAAGCAGTTTATCAATTTATAAGCTTAGAAAATGATAAAGGTGAGTGAGGAAAATGGAAAGAGTCAAGAAATAAGGTTTTGGGTAGCCATAAAAGTTGGCAAAACTTTTTACAGAGAAACTTTCTAAGTTCAGATTGTTTAAAAAAAAATATAAACTAATTGAAATGTCTCCTAATTTTGCACTAATCCTTACTAATATCTTTTCTACAACTACAACCAATCATTTTTTATGCTTATAATTCCCAACTGGTTTTTTGCCTCTGGCCAAAAAAACGGGGGAAGGCCTCATTTCAATTTCTGCGCAATTTAAGGACCTTCATTTGTCAATGTTCACCTCTGGCCTCCATTTCCAGTCAACCCCACTTGCTCCTCAACTTTTTTTTTTTTCTTCATGTCCAACCTTCCCGCTTTTGCTGTCTCCAGTTTCAAGCCATGAGAACCACAATGGCCTGACGACAGGCCATTCTTCTCATTGTCCCGGATAATTTCCATCATCTAATGCCTTATCTTGGGCCAGCAAGTGCCTGATATATATATATATATATTTTGTAAGGGGTAGGGGCTTTGGGGGTAAAATTACCCGCCTACGCATTATTTTTGATGGCACAATTTTGAGCATTAGACAGAGAGAGGCCTGGGAAAACCCCCAACCCAATCCGCCAACGAAGATTGCTCAGTGATCTGTGTGCGTTGGCAATCATTAGCCTCAATGTCCTCCTGTCCGCTCTTGTCGTTTTATTCATGCAACAATTGTTGATTGCCACCCCCTGTGGAAAGTGGATGGATGTAGCTAACCCCCCTCCCCCCAACCTTCTTCAACTTCCCCCTTCAAATATCCACCCAACCCATCGTTTGTTGCGTGTGAATTATTGTTGGTAATAACGTGGAATTGCCTTGTCAGTCGGCAATCTTCCAGAATTTGAAGGCTCACTTGTGTTTGGTTAAGAACTTAAGTAGCTAGATGTAGCTGGATGTAGCATAAATACGTCGTTCACCTTGGATAGTTTCATAAAACGAGCAATAAAACGAGTTAATTTCCGAGTCAAGTCCCCTCTCCCCTCACCTAAAACTAAGTAAGAACTTTCTTCAACTTCAAGAAGCTTACTCCTTCTCCTATATATAGTATATATATTTCTGCTACGAAAATTTAATCAAAGCCCACACATGGGTGGCGAGAAAAGGAGGTGCAAGAATACCAAAAAAAGAAGGGGGGAGGGGGCAGGCAGCTCCTCAACCCAGTTGGCGTTCTAAATAATTCATGTCGGCAGCATTCGTTCTGGGCGCTTTTTAGCTTGGAGAGTTTTCTGCAACATTTTCAACTTGTGTTGTAATACATTCAAATGAGTCTGGGGCAAGAGAGAGAGTGGGAGGGTGTGCTGGCAACATGGTAGGTACAATGGATGGGGGCATGGAAGGGCTTAGGTAGGGTGGCAGGAAGCAGGTTAGTAGGAGGTTTGGCCCAATGGCGGACGTAAACCAGGGTAAATGGAGGCAAGCCGCCTGTATATAAAAGTGGGCGAACTACTGTCCAACCCAACACACATGTGAAACATTTCATGTTCTACACGCAAAAAACGTGAAACGTAAAAAAAAATAAGAAATAAACAATTCCAAAAAATTTCAGAGGTTAAAGAAGAATGGGAAAAGGCACTTCTCTGAGCACAGTGGGAGAGAAACATTCTTCTTCCTTACTTAGTAGCTATGCCTTCGATATGCCTTCGATCAGTTTTCAAATATAAAAAAGTAAATATATAAATTTTTGGTTGTTAGCTGCATTAAACAGTCATTGTTTTAGCTATGCGGCTTGGTTTGATAAAGTTAGAGCTAAGAAACGGCAACGAAACCGGAATCTCTGCTGCCAAAAGACGTAGCATAATTTTGGGCACAAAAAATCAGTTTTTTTGCTGTAGCTTAGCCAAAAATGGTCCAAATGAGGAATGTAATACCTCGTTGGACTCATAATTCGATTGCTGTGATTCCCAATTGATTTGCATTCAAATCTGAGAAACTTTATTTTTGGACCATTTTTGAAAATTTTGATGATGTTACCCCTTATCAAAAATGCGAAATTTGGGTGAAAATTGAATTTCCCAAAATCGAAAAACAAATGATAGGGGTAGTTAGTAATGGTCGTTAGCAGCACGAAACAGTCTTTCTTTTGGCTGTACGTCTTGTTTTGACCGAGCTAGAGCTTGAAACCGAACATAGTATTGCAAATTTCTGTTAAAAATCGGTTTTTTGATTTTTCAGCCATTAAATCAGAGCTCGCACCGAAAAATCAGAGCAATAATGATAAAAGCAAGTATAGGGGTGTTAAGTTTCGGTAGTTAGCCGCATAAAACAGTCATTGCTATAGACAAGCGGCTTGTTTTGACAAAGTTAGAGCTAAGGAATGGCAACAAGCCGAGCTTTCTGCTGTCAAAAGGCGTATACTTGATTTTGGGCGCAAAAAATCAGTTTCTTAGCCATAGCACAGCCAAAAATGCTCCAAATGAGGAATGTAATACCTCGTAGGGCTCGTAATTTGAT